ACTGATTACTTCAGTCATTGCCATCACACGCCTGGTGAATCCTGCTGACGCTTCACGGGGGAAGACTTCACCGGCTCCTTCTTCCGTGGCGCCGCTGAGGCAGTCGAGGCGGCCGGTGCTGGACCCGGTGCAGGTGCGGCAGGTGCTGGAGGCGCAGCTGGCCGTGGGGGAGACGCCGCGGGGGATGGCTCTGCCTGAGGCGCAGCGGGTGTCAAAAGCATAGTCCATTGACGCCAACCGTTACGCTAGGATAAACCAACATAGATGTGGAAACCATGATCCCGTCATAGATGGTTTACATTTAGAAAATTGTGTTTTTCCTCATCTAGATTAATTTACCCTAGGGTGATTATTAGCTAATATGTGGAGTATAGCAACCCCAAAACCATCAGGCGTAGTATAGTATCAAATGGTGATATGATTGATGATTAGATGATCATTGAAACATAACTTGGAAAAATCAGAGAGGCCTGAATAAAGGAAACCAAAGCAAAGCATCGGATACTGAAACGGACGAAAATGAAAAAACGCAAACAAAGGATGAACGCACCCGAGCTTGGTTAGGTGTGCCAATGGGAAGGGGTTGTTTAGAACACAAACAAAAAATCAATCTTGCAATGTCTTCACCCAAACTTTGGGGTGTCAAGCCTGTGCAAATCTACATTGATATTATATATGTATATTACCATATACATTTACATAGATATATTATATAATATACGCACCATTTTTCCATCAATGTTCTATATCAATTGCAACAGCTTCTGAGACCAAAAATTCGCAGTGGGTTTTTGGGCTTCAAAAAAACCTTCTCACCCTTGGTGTTTTTTTCAGCACTGCCTATCTTGCTCAACTACGGACTGGGCAATGTCTTCCTTCATGCCATGACCCGAGATATCACCCACACTAGCTCGAGATATGTACCATACACCATTTTTATCCGTCTAATAGCAGTTATGTTCACCAACTCAGCTAAGATTCGAATAACTTAAACAAATCCCCAAACAAAAAAATGTTAAATCATGAACAAACACATCTTGAATTGTTCAAATGGCCACAAAGTGCCCCACCTTGGTAGGGCTCACCTGCGACGAGATGAACTCAGATTCCATTTCCATGTCTGGAACGCTGTGCAGCTGTACATATGACTCTAAAAAAATCAATAAATAAAAACATCTACTAGTAGTAGTAGTAGTAGTAGTAGTAGGAGTAGGAGTAGGAGTAGGAGTAGTAGTAGTAGTAGTAGTTGTAGTAGTAGGAGTAGTAGTAGTAGTAGTAGGAGTAGGAGTAGGAGTAGGAGTAGTAGTAGTAGTAGTTGTTGTTGTTGTTGTAGGAGTAGGAGTAGGAGTAGGAGTAGGAGTAGGAGTAGTAGTAGTAGTAGTAGTAGGAGTAGGAGTAGGAGTAGGAGGAGGAGTAGTAGTAGTAGTAGCAGTACTAGTAGTACTACTAGTAGTAGTAGTAGTAGTAGTAGTAAGTAGTAGCAGCAGCAGCAGTGGTTGTTATTGTCGTTGTACCAGTGGTACTTTCAAAGAATAATATAACAATAGTAATCGCAATAGCAATAGTGGTGTTACTAGTGGTAAAAAAAGTAGTATTCTCAACATAACTACTTTCCTAGCATATCGCCTGGCTATCATCACACCGTGTTGATTAGAACATAATATTTATCATCATAGGGAAAATATAAGAGCCGTATGTATCAACGTTTTCTTTGTCAGTTGTGTTTTGATTTTGCTCCCATAAATCATTGGATTGGTTTAAGGTAAATTTTACAGGAACCCCCATATCTAATAGTAAAAGACATGGTTTTCTGTAGATTTTCCCTTAAACCAATCCATTGAATAAAATGGCCAATTCTTGTAGGCTATGCCAGCATGGATGGTTTGGGGTATCACCTACACCTCGGCTGTCACACAGTCTGGCCTGATGTTTTCCACCATCCCCACATGTGCCATGGTCAAAACATGGTAAATGATAATGGGGGTATGGTCATCCATCCCATACTTATAATCAACACATGTACAGTATTATATGCATATATATATATATTGTACATATATATATATATATTATACATATATATATATATATATGTAGACATATCCTTATGAGAACGGATTGGTGATCATCCCCATGTGTGTATATCATCCGGGATTTTACGCCCAAAAAAACGGCCCGGTGGCGTTTTAGCAACTTTGCCTCCGGTACAGGCAGCGCGGGTAGGGGCTCAGGAGGTGGTGGAATTACAAAAGAATCGGCCTCCGAATCCTGGGAGAACAGCGAATCCTTCAGAAGTTGAATGATCTATGGAGTAGTTTAAGGGGAAACCTACAGGAAACCATGGGTTTTTACATGTTTTTTACCATCTAATGTGGAGGTGTCCTGTGAATTAGTGGTCAATTTAAGGTCAATTCTGGTTAATAGTGATTAATAAATTCAAAAATAATGGGCAATAGTAAGACACTACTCGGAAAATATGGCTTAATATACAGGGTCCATGGTCAAGTTACATGTGATTCATGGGATATATTTAATATACAATCATGGAATATATCATGAGTGATCTATTTCTTTGTGATCTAAAAAACATTGATTAGTGGAATTAAAAAAAACACAATTTGGGGATATGTATATATATATAGTAATTATGTAACAATGGACATATAGTATCATGGGGACATATCGTGGGGATATATAATGGGCCATAACTAAGCAACTGCGTATATGATAGTCGGTTTGTCTGAAAATCGGGTATAACCCAACCATTGCCATATCATGCGGAAAGTCATCATTAACCAGTGGATTTAGAGGTACCATATGTTTAGACAAAGCCATATAGTGATCTAACGATTGGTGATCATTCGGAATATGTGTTGATAGTATATGTAAACAGACTAATACTACAATAATTGGGACATAGCTTGGAACATTAGGGATACACGACCGACACTAATAGGAGGAATGAGGATAAATGTATATTGCTACAACAATACTGGGTTCGGTAACGTTATATGGGATTGATGGGATCTATATATATATATATAATTATATAATACACCAAAATGGGAGGTATTTTGACAATATAATGGTATACAACCAACAATATGCGATATGATCCAAAAACAATAAAGCATGGGATATAATTTGGAATATTAGGGATACATATAGGGACACAACTTATTGATAGGTTCATACATATGTATATACATGTATTTACATAATATTTAGATGTATATATATATATATATATGGTGTGTGCATATATATATACATATATTACTATGTCATCATATATATATATATACATATAAACATATCAAAATATATCATACCATGACAATACATCAACATAATTAATCTTATGAAAAAAATATAAATTATATATATATATATATACAAACCAACCTATGGGGACGCAATGTAATGACACTACTCTGTAATGGGATTTAGCTAGCCAAATTATAATATCATGATATATCATGGGTATATGATGGGTAAATTATTGGTATGTACTGTATATATATATATATCAGTATGTAATAGTATATATGGGATATAGTAGGGATGTGATGGCGATATAACTACCACTAGCCAACAATATATGTGCAAGTACAACTAACCGTAGTTTTGTAGGGATAGAAGATGGGAAGATAGTGAACCTTGAGATTTATAATGCTTGATAATATGCCTTTTGCGTACTGTATCTCATGAACATCGCATTGTTCCAACAAAGGGACGCACCCCCAACAACATAGAAACGTAAAAATCCTAGCCGTAAACTTGTGCTTTTCATGTGTTGTCTATCTTTTTGTTGGGAGCTACGATACTTTGATTAACTTTAATGTTTGAACATGTACATGGATGTATTACTTGATGCACATGATTACATTACAGTTTGTGGTTATTAAATATCAATAACTATAACTAATGTTGAAGGTCCACTATATAGATTTTATTATCATTCTTAACTGGAACAGTCTATGTATGATTATATCATGGACATATCTTAAAATCATAGATCAAATATATCATTGATCATAATTTACGATCATTTATCATGATTTGAAGAAATGCCAATGTTATCATCATTTACAATCATTTATCATGATTTACCCTTAACATTATCATTTTCTTCCAATGAAAAACATGCCAGATTAATACATCAATGGGAATTTCAGGATCCAATACATGGAGGTACGTTAGTACCATATGGTTGGCCATATGAATTGTTGGGATATTCCCTGAAATTTAGGCCTGAACAATAGGCCTTATATATGGAATCGGTACCTCTGGTTTCTTCCATGTCCTGAGCCCATGCCGCGATGTTGTAGAAGGGAGGAGCCTTGCTGACCCCAAAATGGGAATCTGTCATTGAAACAGGTGGTAACAACTATGTATATATTGAACAAATCTATAAAATATGTGTGTATATATATATACACATTTAGATACATGATGTAGATAATTTTAAATAGCTCTGTATATATCTGTAAATAATTGTGTGTCATCTGAAATTGCGTGTGTGTATATATATATAAGATGATGTAAGCATTAATATACGTAGCATGTCCCAGACTTGAACCATCAACCATATGCTCCATGGTGCTGCAAGGTGGTGCCCCCGTTCGATAGCTAAGTTGGTTTATAACTCCAATAACTATGGTTTGTAGGTGATATAACAGTGATATATCTCTAGTATTCATAGGGGTTTATAAACCAACAAATAAAACGTTTGGGGGGGCACCACCAAACGTGGAATATCTATCACCATAGATTTTTCGAAAAACACGATCCATTCAGGATGAAGTCACAAGAGGAGAAGACTTGCTGATTTGCTCAAGGACTGACTGTTAAGCGGTGCGAATTTAGGTCCAAAATCTAAGCAAAACATGTCAGATACTTCCGGGGATGAAGATTTGGATGGTGATGCTATGTGAATCCCATTTGATCCATTTGGTCATTTCTTCCTCTAGCCGGGCCTAAAAATTTGACTCGTCACAAACAGCTCAAAATTCAAACAGCTCTTCCGTGCCACCTGGTCGCCAGACTTTTCACTCCATCGCGGTCCAACATCCGATGTCGGCATATTTATACGTGGAACGTGGCCGCGAAAGGTGCTATACTCGCCAGGGCTACGACTGACCGGGTCGCTCGTTCATAGTTTTCCAAAACGGCGATGGGCAGACGCAGCGCAACCGGCAAAGACAACAAGGGCGGTACGAAGAGATCTGAGGCAAGAGACCAAACATTTGGGAACATCTAAGGGAAACCAAACGTTTCCTCATCCAAATCTGGAACGTTTCAGTACACTTTCCCTGTAATTTCAGACAGATATTGCTACATTCCTCGGTGGTTGGTTTTTCTGGTAAAGCGTGGAGGAAACCAAAATGTTTCACATCCAAATCTGGTCTTTCCGGTAAACGTTGATGAAATGAACAAAACCAATTCTGGAATGGATCCAATTAGTAAGCTATAGGTAATGCTCGAAACAATAGTTAAGTGCTTTCAAAAACCTAGTTAACCGATTTATGGCAGATCTGCAGTTGGGGTTACAGCTGGGGGACCTTATGTGAAGATGCTGGATCCATAAATTAGGACCAGCTAAGGGGAGATTCTCCTTACTAAGCATGATTCCAGGGCTCGGTCACAGTGAGGTCACTCTAATTTACCCAGATCTATGTAGCCAAAATATGTGGAATCTAACCAAGAGAAGAGTCTCTAACTAGAAATTTATATAAGCATCAAAGATGGAAACCAAATGACATGCACTCGGATATTCAAAAAATAGGTCTCACTGACTGCGATGAGATGGTTGATAAATCTGGAATCTAAATGCATTTTGATATGTAGTTTTATCTGGTTGGTGGTTTTAACCATCTTGAAACATATTAGTCAATGGGAAGGATTATCCCATAGATTATGGACAGTAAAATTCATGTTCCAAACCACCAACCAGCTATAATATTGTTCTGTCGGGGGACAAAAAAAAACAATGGCAATCATGCCATGGTTCCCGGATTGCTGTCTGGGAATCCTCAACCTGTCCGAGTCCGTTCTCTCTTCGTCCCCACGGGCGTTGCTTGGGTGCTCCCAACAACAGCATCCGACAGCATTCGGGGAACTCCCTGAGCCTGGAACCAGATGGTCCATCTTCGCCGCTGCCCAAGAACAATGAATTCCAAGACAAAAACCTGCCATTTACCAGGCAACCCTTCGATGCTGAGGTTTGAAGATGCTTTGGTCTGAAGGTCAGAGGTGCTATGTTTTTGCGTAAGTGCAGGCATTGACATGGAACCACACCACATTGGGGTGGTTTTCAACACTTGTAGGACTGAGTCAGATAGCTGTGGGACCCAAGCTATGCTCAACACATCTGAAGGGAACAGAATCAATGATCGAACCACAAGGTGGTGCTCCAAATCGCTGAGTTGGTAAACATAACTGGGTTAGTTATAGGTTTTATGGTGACTATTATAATAGTTGTATATATAACTACTAGGCCCTAATCATTTTCCGAACAGGAAACCACAAGGTGGGGCCCCCTAGATGCCTAAGTTGGTTTATAAACTAGGATAACTGGTGTTTATGGCAGTTGGAACATGTTAGAACTATGGTTGGAGGAGTTTATAATTTCACCGGGGTGGTACCATGTTGCAGGCAATTCTTCACCCAGCGGCCCTTGAGCGCCTTGAGTGACAAGAATCCGTTGCAAAATGTGAACTCCGCGTGAATCCGGCCCAAATAGTAATATGATTGGTATAATGTGGTTAAAACCATGTCATAAACCACCTATTTGGGAATTCTTTAAAGAACCTATGGTGATTTGGGGGATGGGTTTTGTTATTTTGTTTTAACATGTTCAAAAACCACATTGTAAATAATTGACATCCAACTTAAGGAACAACTTTCCGGGATATGCTGAAAAATGTGTCGTGTTTTTTCAATTAAGTGGGTCATATTTTTTGCAATCCTTGGCCCCAACAATGGTGGATAAAGTTGGCCACAAGTTATGTAATTTTGAACCCGTGCAACGGGTTCCGCCAGACTTGTTGAACTCCCATTCTAAAAACAGAAAAATGTGACTTGATGCTCCGTGTGACTGCTCTGTTTGATGTTGGGCTATTTTTATGGCCAGACAAATCAATCAAATAAAGACTTAAAGTAATGAATTCAAAAACAAGAATTCAATCTCTGGCTGCATTAAATCATCATACTGGTTGGTGGTTTCAACCCCGCGGAAAAATATTAGTCAGATTGGATCATCATCCCAACTATTGGGGAAAATAAAATTCATGTTCCAAACCACCAACCAGCATAATTCGGGAAAAAACAACTTGAACATACAGTAGCTGAAATGTTGGGCCGTTAGGGGATGATATTCCAGAATTCCGTCACGACGCGAAAGCGGTCACAACATAATTCATCATACCCAGATGCTCCATGTATGGAATATTTACCTACAAAAACTGGTTGATTTTGGGGGTAAATGTAGAGATTCATATTCCATACATGGAGCATATGGGATATTTATCCAGATGATCAGATTCAAAGCCCAAGGAAACACCACCATGTTTGATATGTGACTGTTCGTTGAGTCACCATTTCTATCAGGTGAGAAATCACTATTTTATGTTCGTAAAATCACCCCATTGCTGCATGTGGATCCCGTCAATGACTGTACACAGTTGGTACTTTTGATTGGTGCCGTAGAATTATTTCTAATTTAGTGCTGGAATGTACTGGATGTATTTATTTAGTAGGGCCCGTAATTGTGCATATTGCATATCTGCATATCATATTGCTATTTCACTGGCTCAATAGTGTTAAACCACCATCGTTCATTCTTAAACCAGCATGTTTCATGCTCAAACCACCATTTTTCACGAGATCAGCGGCTGGGGAAATTCTCAACCACCCACCTCGCATCAATCCCCACAGCTCCCTAGCCCAAGTTTGTAACATGGTTGTGCCAGTAAGTGGAAGGATCTGCGCCACATCTCTAGACTTCGGTCCTTTCTGTCTCGGCCAAAGAAAGATGTTGAGCCCAAAATTCTCCGCGCTGGCTTGCTGATGATTGTCAATCGCCCAGCCATCTGCACATTGAAACACATTTAATTGTTTATATTGTTTGAACCGCGAATTGGCGATCCTGGGATGCTGAACTGCAATCGCCAGGGATCCTGAATCAATTTTACTCTGCAGTTATGACCATATTATTAGTTATAACTGGTTATAAATGGGATTATACATTTTATAAATGGGATTATAAGTACTTATTATAACTGGTAAAGGGCCATAGCAGTTGAATCTCTGATTTTCAATATCGCTTCCCATGGGAATTCTGGAAGGTCCCCCTCTGGATCCTACGCCAATTTCACATGCACGGAACACGGCGTCGTTCCAGCAGGGTCTGGCCATCAGGTGGGACCCTACAAGGTGATGCCCCACAGATTACTGCACAGAGTGCACGCTTAAATTTGCTGTAGAACTAGCCCAACCAACGGGTTTATGGCAGGTACATCGAGAGTTAATGGACTTCATAAACCAACACGCAGCACTTTAAAACGATTCGATTTATATATTTCAGATATAACGGAGCAGTTTGATTTTCGAGTGACATCAACTGAACATGTCGGGGCAGCACCTTGTATCTATCTCTATATCATCCCTGCTCCACACTCCCTTGCTGACTTGAAGACGCCGAAAACGCAGGCCGCCCGGCTCCCTCGCGCTTGTCTTGCCCGAATTGCACCGACAACTTGGAGCTCTCTGCGGACGATAACTTCGGGAAGCGAGCGAAAAGCTTGTTGCGGATCAGCTCCTGGTGGAGAAGAAACAACCAAATCCGGATCCAGCCGTACGGATCCAAAGGATGACTGGGATATGAAAAAAGGATAAAAAAGGGTGTGACCTTCGAAGTACTTGGAATAGCGAATGATCAAAAATATGAGATGAATTGAGATGAGCAGTTGTCAAAACCCTGCGTTGTCCCTTTTGATCCTGCTTTCTCAAACGGGATTCTACGTTCATGGATTGTGATATTCCCCAATATATTGGTTAGTATAACCCCATTTCATCAGCAACACCCCGGGCTTTTGAACACGAATACTCAGTGAGATCTTTCCTGCGGATGATCCCGTGGTCAGTGCTGGTGAGATACATCCCTCACATCCCCCCAAAAGTATACAACTCTAGTAACGAAAACAAAAGTGTATATACAAATACATATATACTGCATAGAGGGACACATACTGTGACTTATATACATATATATATATATATGTAAATATATATATATATATATATGGTAATAAACCAATAAACAGAACAGGGGAACATCGACCTGCAAATGTTTTATCACTGTAGAATTTACTTTCTGATAATTTGACATAGCTATGGAACATGGTCCATTTATAGCTGATCCATGAGGATTTACCTACTAAACATGGCGGTTCCATAGCTTGGTTAAATCAAAGTTACCTTAAATCATGGCTAGATTGGTGGTTCGCATTAGCGCTTATGGAGGTGGTGATTGGTGGTGAGCCCTGTCCATGAACCCTAAACATATTTTTTTTGCAAGTGATGGGTCATGTTTGTTGCTTTTCCGTTTTTCCACTGCCACCATTGGTTGAATACCGATGTCATATACCTCCGTTATATGCCCATATTAGATGATTAAATCCGCATTGCGTCCCTAGGATGTTTCTATTGTATATCCTACTAGTATACCCCATCGATTTTGTGGGTTAAATCAAAGGTTACAACATTTTATTAGGCTGTTCCTATTATGTAATGTCAAGTGAGGATTAATAATCCCCTCCCGATTAATCAACCACCATTGCCAAAAAAAAAATGTAATTTCAAAACAGGTGGTCCCCCGAGATTAATAAACCGGTGGGCCTACCCCCGATTAATCAACCACCAGTGCTGAAATCCAATTTTTTATCCAACATTTTTTATTTCCAATTCTATTTATTTCCAATTGTTTTTTTACTTTTGTTTTAATCATCATTGTTATACTTCAGGTTTAAGTTGATCATTGAAAATTTCAAAAAACAACTATTCCCCAAATGATCGATTTCTAATTAAAATCTTTATAAAAAAAACATCAGTTTGGATAGCTCCCAAAGGGTACCCCCCATGAGCCCATGTCCCCCATTAATAATAACCATGGTTTGCCCCTGATTAATCAACCACCTTTCTGATCCATGAAATTTTAACAAATCCAATGGAATTCTATTAAGATCTAATTGACGTAAGCCATATCCAAAGTTTTATGGTTCAGAATTTTATGGTTCAGGGCCGTTTATTTACGGGTGTTTTTTGCAGGTACCTCCTACCTTCTAGGGGGGGGTTATTAATCCGGTGTTGGCATTATTCCCATTCTTCTCATCAAATCACAATGATTTTCTATCTCAGAAGTCGTTATCAAAAGGTTTTTATGTGAAACCCCCAAGCCCTCATTGGGTGAAATCCTCTACAAGTTCCATGCCGAAGAAAATAAAAAAGGCATCCCCCATGATGGGGCCCGCGTTCGAGCTCGCGGTCAGTTGCCTAAAAAAAGTGGCTGAATTCTATGGTTTATGGTAGATCGAAAATGATAGAACTACCCTCTGGTAAACTAACATAACTATGGAAAATCACCATTTTTAATGGGAAAATCCACTATAAATGGCCATTTTCAATAGCTATGTTAAATTACCAGAGGGTATCCTGCCTTTTTTAGGATCTAAAAAAGGCCCCTTTTGGATGACGCTGCGCTGCGGATGACGCGCAGCCGCTGCGCCAAGATGCTGCTTTCAGCTCCCCCAAGGAGATCTCATCCATGAGCTCTGCCTCATCCGCAGCGATCTTGCACACAATGGCCTCACACAGTCGGGCGGCACGGCATAAAAATCTCCCCACAAAAAGTTGGGAAGATCAGCATATAAAGTGGTGAATATCACTGATATAGACTATATCTATATATCTAGAGATTACAGCTAATGCTATATCGATATATTAAATACAATTCCGTCCATTACAGAACATAGAAAACGAATGCCTAAGAACAGGACGTGGTAAGCTCGACTGTGCATGGATAATATCACTGATATATCTATATCTAAATATAATAGCTAACGCGATATAGTTGATGGATATATTAAATACAATTCCATCCATTACAGAACATAGAACATGAATGCTTAGAACAAGACGTGGTAAGCTCGACTATGCATAGATTTCTGGAAAAAACAATGTAGGATCGTCTTAGGACATAATGTCAGTGACCGTCAGTGACACATATCAAATATTATCTATGTGCATATACAATACTTAGTGTGACTTTGTGACTTCGAAAAAACATCCATGGGTATAAGTTATAATAAGTCAAAACCCTGGTGCCGTGGAAAATATTGATAAAGCTGGCAAACAGATGTTTAAAAAAAGGTTTTGACTTATATCCATATTTTCCACATAGATAAACCTCAAAATATTGATAAAACCATATCAGATGGATAAAATATGTTTATCCCTCGATTTTGGTGATAAAAAGGTTTTGATCCATCCGATGGATCAACAATAGTTACCAATATACCCCATAGGTACAAGGTTGTGCCCTACCAGTTTTTAAGTTGGTCACCACCATGGGCTATAGGGAACAAATGTATCATAACACTAGTTTATTGGACTTATAAACCACCCCATAGATAGCTAAGTTGGTTTATAACTGGCTTGATTGTTGTGTTCATGGTGGGAGTATTCAACCAGTTGTAATTTGGTGTAAATAGCTTGGGTGCACCACCTCGTTCAGTACTCGGCATCAACCCCTGAAAAAAAAAAAGCTCGTCACTTGGGGTTATTACGATGGTTTTCCGCCAAGCAGTTTCCACCCAATTCCAATGGTTTATCATTGATTATCATATGTGGGCCCCCCCAGTTATAAGTTGGTTTAGATTCGCCCCAGTAACTATAGTTATAAGCACCATAAACCAGTAACTATAGTTATTTGCGCACCATAAACCATAATTATTGGAGTTATTTGCACCAACTTAGCTATCGAACGGGGGCCTCGCAATGTATCATATGTTCATATTTTCATGTATCCCCGATGTTCAGACACACCCCAAAAATCATAATTCTTCATACACACATATCATCATATCCCCATGATAATACAACCATCATATTCTCATGGCATATTCCAGCATATTATCAAACTTGATGTGAGCAGTGGCTGCGGGAAAAAAACATGTTGATGAAATTGTATTAGATCATACTACAAGGGAATTATCATAATCCATTCTCACTGGAAATCCCAGTTCTGAAGCAACTCGGATTTAAATGGAATGCAATTTTGGCTCTTGAACGCTGCTCATGTGGGGATTTATCCGATTTATCGGTGATAAAACAGGATATACACTCCAATAAAACTAACACAGCTATGGAAAATGGCCCATTTAGTTCAATGATTTACCTATTAAACATTGTGATATCCATAATCCTTTCCCTCTACTACTAAACCCCCCCAAATAATAAACACTAGGGTCCGTCTCCAGTTTTGGAAATTTTGGGGTTGGCCAATTTGATTTTAAATTGATCCCCTTTAGAACACAATTTAAACATGAAGCTACCATGTCAGGGTTTCACCCCCTAATAATAAAAACTAGTCAACCCCGGGGTGTTTTTTTAATAGGGTCCGTCTGTTAAGGTCAAACAACAAGTATTTTATATTAATGGTTTTAATTAAATATTAGGGGAAAGCTTCGAAATCCAATTTTTGGCAATATCTTAATTAGATTTTAAAAGGAGAACTCATCGGTTTTGAAATATAGATAAAAATAGTTTTTTCTTTTTTTTATATTAGGGTCTTAAATCTAGTATTAGGGGGAAGCTTCGCACCCTAATAATAAATACACCCTAATAATAAAAACTACCTGAGGTGTTTATTTGGGGAGCGTTTAGCATTAGGGGGAAGGGATTGGCATGCTAGAGGGTAACCAAACATGGCCATTAAACATGCCTAAATTATAGGTGTTTTTCCAAGCTAGAAACCTCCATTGATAGGGAATGTTTGAGGACACCGCGTCGCGCGGGTACTACTCACATGTCGTCACTTTGTCCGCGCGGCTGTCTCAAAGGGGCTCAAGATCCGATTCGTCGGAACCCCCTGCCTCAGTTAGCGTGATGGGCCATGTGAAGTTTTTTACCGTGGATTGCGGATGTTAAAAGGGACGGAATTATACTACATCGTAAATAGTTTCGTAATCTTATGTGCACTATGCATATACATATATATATGTATGGTATGTGTGATTATACATGTTTTAAATACACCATTATATACAAATGGAATCAAAAGGATACCGAAAAAACGGGGTAGTCTGTTGCAGCCACCATGTGCAAAAAAAAATGTTCATCCGCCATAGTCTCAGGCATTTTGAGTCTGGATCAGCCATGAACAGAGTCTGCAAAGAACTCCAATAAGTGGGTGATCCATTCAAAGTGCCTGAGACTATTGGATATTGGAGTTTTGATGATTGGATTACCAATAAACATCAAAACTTTCCAAACCTGAAAGTAATTCTTTGATATTGCTGGGAACCATACTAACTATCAAGATCCCATATCAAACATCAGTGGATTGCTGAAAAGGCAACATCGGATGCGGCGATTTCCTCGATTTCCTGACCCCCTTCATCCAAGTCCAAGTAACTGGAGGCTGTCTGAGTAGACGTAGTCACAAGCCTCCAGAAGCATGATACCAAAGCGGCCCATGCTGCCGGTAGCGATGCCTCAGGCGAAAAAGGTCCAATGGGCCTCTCCAAATGGGCGAGCTACTCAAAGGGAACATCAAATCTACCCTCTGATTATGACTAACGGTTTGCCATGGAAAATCACAATTTTTAATAGGTACTGTAAACCATCTATTTCTATGGGCCACCTATACCATGGCTATGTAACAAATAACCAGAGGGTACATTTATACACATATATGTGGACAAATCCATATTATTGGAAGCATGATTTTCGAACACACCAGGAACGGAAAAAAAAACACTGCAGTGTCTGGATAAATCATGGGAAATACGTTCATGTTTGTCAGCGAAGCTGCCGAAAGCCAATCCCCAGTGCAATAGTGTGAGCAATCCAAGTCATGGTTACAGGATTTGTGATCAATGCCTCCAAAATTAGCTAGGTTGGTGAAAATACCTCTTAAAACTGTTGGACTTATGGTAGACATATCGACCCTATCAAACTAGTTGGGGTTTATAAACCAACAAACATAACCTGGGGGGCACCACAAGCTTTATCATCCCTGTGCAAATGTGCGAGGACCTCTTTCGTCAGCCGATGCTGAAGGTCGCACTGACTCATGGCGTTGTAGTCAAACATGTTTCCTTTAACCAAGAGTGCGTTGCTTGAATTGCATTAAATCCCTGTTTTGAAGCTTGTTTTGGTCCTCCCAGCGATCAACAAATTGGTCTGATTCATTAAATTGTATCTGTATATTCCCAACACAAACCACATGGTTTACCACGTGAGGGCGAACTTGCCCATCGTTTGGGGGATCCTTCCTTTTTATATGAACTATCACATGGTGTGCTGACTCATCCCCACATGTGCAAGCGCCCCACACTGGCTGATTTTTTGGGGGCTCCCGAAATAGGATATGTCAGAATCCTTTTATAATTTGCCAACTAATGTGTATATATGTCATAAAATGCTATAAATATATATATATATATAAATATATTGTATATATCCCTATCATCATCAACTACTTGCAAGCTGGTGCCCCCAGTTTGGTGTGTTAGTTTTAAACCCCACTTAAGTAAACACACACATATATATATGCAAACAACTAGATCTATAAATGTATATCTGCATACCATAATGTCTGTCATTCTAGTTCACTCACTGGGCCATCAATATTTGACATATTTTGGCCCATTCCCCACACAGAGACGGCTTCACGACTTCAATGTAGGGTAGTCCATATATACATATATACAGTCCATGTGCAAATGATTATTACAAGTTATTACAATATTTATATATATATATATATTAAGTCATATTAACCTATACACAACCTATGTCATATGGTTATTGCCCACTGAACTAAACCCTTGTTATGGAAACCCAAGCTATGGAAACCATGGCCCATTAGTTCGATGATAAACTGTGTGATGTTCCAGCTCCACTCTGCTGTTTTGATGTTTCAATCCCCACGAAATCACCGCTTTGCATCACCATAAGACATCACCATAAGACATCCCATAAAATCATTAAACAAAATAAAAAATAAATGAAATCCCGATAAAATAATTTAACCCCCCAAAAAAAACATCCATTAAACAAAAAAAACATCGGGTATTAAACATATTGTAACATAGTACCCAAAACTACACAAACTCTGCATGGTCTCCCAAAACTACTTTCCAGGTCCAGTCCAGCTGCCGTACACGGGCTGTGGAACCTCTAGCATGCGTCGGACCACCCGGATCCATCCACTGGACGAACCAACCTCCAGCATGGTCGAACCAACACATCAGGATCTGATGAGTCCTACAAGGTGGTGCCCCCAAAAGTTAGATTTGTTGGAGTAAATTGGTTTACCCCATGAATACTAGTTCGATATATCACCAACAAAAACCATAGTTAATTATTGGAGCTATTTGCACCAACTGAACGCTATCGTTTGGGGGCACCACCTTGTACAGGTCATCCACAAAAAAACTGGTAATCTTTTGCTGGCCAATCATTATTTTCCATTCAAAAATAGAAAACAACTAAAGGGCTAAACTATCCATCCGTTGGGGATGAGGGACTACTACTATTACTATTACTACTACTACTACTACTACTACTCCTGCTGCTACTACTACTACTACTACTACCACAACCGCAACCGCAACCACAACCACAACAATTACACCTACGAGTACACTACACGACACTAGAGTTAGATAGACAGAGAGATAGACAGAGGGAGAGATAGAGAAACACAGAGAGAAGGTGACAGAGAGAAGGTGACAGAGAGAGTTAGAGATGGAGAAAGAGAAAGGGGGAGAGAGAGAGGGAGACTTAGAACCTCAACCACCTTTCGATCCATCAGTTAGTGGGTTAGCTCTGCCATCGAAGCATCACAAAAACTCACCTCTCCTATAGTTTCCTATCTTTAAAAAATCCGCCACGGCCTTGTGCGGTACTACTGGTATAAAATATTATCATATCTATGTATATATATATATGTATGTATTGTATATATATATATATATGTGTATTGTATATATATATATATATATGTATACCTATAAGTGTATGTGTATATATATATGTGTGCAAATATATATATATATAATATTTTTATGATTATTATCATTATATCATAATATACAGTATATATGAATATTATATTATCATACATGTATATAGGTGTGTATATATAGATAGTAATTTACATATTGTACAGAATTGTAATACCAATGTATCCACACACCCATGGATCTTGTATACTGCATTGAAGTACCAGGTGCAGGAGTGGAAGTTCTGTCCACTCTACGATGATGTGGTGTGACTTTCTTGCCGGCCACTCAAGAAGTATCAAGAAGTCATTCTGCCATGGAAAACGGCTCAGGAAAATGGCTCATTTATAGCTGTTTGACCTACCAAAAACTAGCAGATAATGTTCAATGATTTACCATAATCCTTTTAAAAGGAACGTTTAACAACGGACTTGCATAGGTTCCAGTCACCCTGACAAGAACTACATGTCAATTATATATATATGTACACATGAGAGAGAGATGACAGGAGTATATCCCACAGATGCAGTGGATATTGTCTTTTTACTGCTTGCATGCCCTGTCTAGCCTATGGCTAATATCTAGCAAAACACTATAGCGATTCCTATCCACCATCCGTCCATCTTTGTACCGTGTGGGGTATGGTTACCCGTCGACGGAAATCCCTTTAATGACCATTGTAAACCCCTATCAATCGATATCAATCGATTCGTAACCATCCCCCTATATGGGCAAACTTATCCAAAGTTTGACTACGGCACATGCAGAAATGTCATGTTTTTTGCTGCGTTCCTCTCAATCCGGGATGTGTGATTTCCACCCTCTCCGCATCTCTGTGCAACATGCTGCAATCTCATCAACGAAAAAACATTCCATTCTGACTATGACCTGAAAAACAATGAATCTCAGATGTTTTTTTGTTGCAGCTTCTTCTTGAATCGTTTTGCCATATGTTTATATGACATCCAGTTGCCACAACTCCAATCATTCCAATCAAGAAGACCAATTCTTCAATCACATCATATCACAAGCGGTGAAAAGGCTGGTTATTTTTTGGGGGCCCTAGAACTATTTGGTGAAATCTAGCCTCTTAGTTACTTAGTTCAAACTTCACTTCACTTCGTATATATCCACAACTAAATCGTTGGTAAATGGTGGTTATTGAAAAAAAACAATGTAAAATTCTCAAAGATAAAAAATCATTCTTGTTGTACATCCACCATATTTCCAGATGCTGAAATTTCTACTTCAACAATCTCCATCAAAACTTCGGGATACTTCGGTATACTTCGGAGACAGTATGGGACAGTATGGGACGGCCTCAACGGTCTCATCGCCACGCTTGACCTTCTCGCCGTTGCCGTTGATGCATAGAAAGATCAGAGGCACCTGCCGAAGTCCGGCCTCCCTGATCTCAATGAGCTGCTCCTGGCACCGCAGCGTGGCGCCGTGGCGCCGTGGCGCCGTGGCCATGTTTTCCATGCCATGTACCTTGAGGTTATGTCATGTATCATGTCTTTTTTCCTTAACTATACGTAGCACTTAGACCTGAAATAGAATGGCCATTTAGCGAAACTGGAATGGCCACTGATACACAGATATATTTATATATAATGGTGATGTTGGAATATATTGGGTGTGTCTCAAAATACGGTATACCTATGTATATGTATACCTCGAAAAATGACCATGTTGACAAAGAAAATATAAGACATATATATATATATTTAAAACAGTAGATTTAGAGATACCATCTGGTTATTTAACATAGCCATGGAAAATCCCTTATAAATGGAGGTTTTAAGGGGAAAATCATCTATAAATGGACCATTTTCCATGGCTATGTTAAATAACCAGAGGGTGATCTATTTTCAAACACACTAAGTTGGTGATATGATGGGTGTATATTTGGCATATACCCTCTGGTAAACCAACAAAGCTATGGAAAATGGCAATTTATAGTGAGTTTTCCCATTAAACATGGTAATGTTCCATAGTTATGTTAGTTTACCAGAGGGTAATGTTATTGTTGGGGATATGATAAGACATGGGGATATATGCCAAGAAATTGGATGATTTTGGGCTTTGTCTTCACACAGGGACAAAAAATACCCAGAGCAAGGCATTGAATAGTAATTCCGATGATGACCTTAATACACAGCTGCAAGCATAGGAACAAACAACAACATCTACTAAGACTCTGTGAATCAACATGTGATTTGCATTGGAAATCCCAAATTGGACTCGTTAATTCAGTCGTAATTCCTGCTTTGGGGTACAAAATGCAAACATGACAAGAACACTTTAGACCCCCAAGATAGCTAAAAGCTAAGTTGGTCCAAAACTAAGCCAACTATGGTTTATGAGGGTTATGTATCAGTTATGAACCACCATAAATCAACTGCCAACTCAAAAACGACGTAAAATCGCAAAGGTTTTAACACATAGTCACATGATGTCACATGGTTTTCAGCGCCATAGCAACCCACATAACCCAGGTGTCCTCGATCCGTTGTAAGCTCTGACTTGCTGCAGTTTGGTCGACCATGATGGTTGCCACTCGCTTCTCCATGACTGGTCCACACATCTGAAACTTCCCTGGTCACCTTGGCTGACGCCTGGTGGTTTCACAAAACCAGGCGCCAGTTCCTTGGGCCAAAGCTATCCGAAAAATCACTGAATTTACATGTTGTGACTTTTTATGGGGAGATACACGGATATACCATCTGGTAGTTTAGCTAGCTATAGAACGTTACCAGTAGGTAAATCCTCGATGGGTAATTTGCCACTTCCTGTGCTGGTGCTGTCAGACCCTTGACTTTTGCTTCAAATATGCGTCAAAGCACCAGCCAACGTTGTGAGGTGAAATGCTCATGTGTTTTTTTTTCAGAAATATGTATATACATACATTAAAAAAAACATTCCTTTGTATATTGTGTATAGTGCAATATGTATGTATATATAAGTATATATATATATACATCGGGTAAATTATATGTGCCACGATAAAAACATCGTATACGTGGTATTAGGTCATCCAATCCATATGGGAATCTTTGCTATGGATATATATATACATAAATCCGCATTAAGATTGACGACCATCCCCCACTATGAGCAGTTCAGCAAATGTTTTGAGATTGGCACATAAAATTTCCATACTTATATATACATATATAGTTATTATAAATATGTATATATATATATATATTGCAGTATATATGTATATATACACTGTAATTTATATAAATGTGAAGGGTCTAAACGGGCCTAGCTACCCGTTCAACAGGAGGATCAAACATTCAGTAAGGCGGTGACTCTGGTGCCACCGGCTGGTGGTGATTCCTCAGCTTTCTTCGGCACCAAAGTGCTTCTCCTTGGTGCACCAATGGTGGCAAATTGCAAGGCCAAAGCTTAACTCGTGGTGGATGTTATATTGATCATAAAGCCTATAAAAATACATGAATTTCACTCCTAGACCTCCAAAGACATCCTTTGGGAAAGTGATTTTTGCTAGGGTCCAATATGTCCAATGACCTCAGGAGTTCTTTCGAAGCCATAGGGGTATATATATATATATGTAAATATTAATATATGTACTATGTACCCTCCAGTAAATTAACATAGACCCTGCCAGATAGGGTTGGAAAATTAGTTTCCATTAAAAATGAGCGATTCTCAGGGTCTATGTTAATTTACCAGAGGGTGTATATATATATATATACACATTGTGTTGTACTGTCTTGTATTGCTTTGTGTTGTATTGTATTGTGTTGTATTGTATTGTGTATAGAGGTAGGTATCTATGCATGTATGAACGCATGTATGCGTGCATGTATGCGTGCATGTATGCATATACACATTTTAAATGTGCGATGGTATGTGGACACTATATGTATTATATATAATTACATATCATGCAAACAAGCATGCGTTCTAAAAATTATACACTGCGTGGGTCCAACATCATGTTGACACATGACTACATTGATAAGATGTCAAACTCCATTTAGTGCTGATCCATAATATCAATGAATATCATATATCTGTAGGGGTACCTAAACAAACGGTCCCGGGTTTCCTCCCCAGTCAGTCGAAAGGCATCGGCTCAGTGGGTAAGGCCTTGGGGTTGGCATGACCTGAAACATAAGGTCTGAATGCGGGATGTCCACACTGGTGTACCCTTATACTACCATGGCCTTAAAAAAAAATGTCAAATAAGAACTTGAATGTTGAAGTGTCAAAGGATATGACTGTCTAACTACCAACTACATAGAAGATGTGTCATTTATCAGTGGAAAACCCTCCCAACCAGCCCATCTAGCCCATCCATCAATCATAGATCGTTCAGAAGCCTCATTTTGTGGTTGCGTGGTGGTTAATCAGGGGTTGGTAAATGTCCTAATTGAACATCATCCAACTACTGGGGGGTATAATCTCAAACAAATACTTGAAGCTGATGTTCAAAATCACCAAAAAAGGACATTTACCTTTTTGCTGTCAAAAAAAAAACGGTAAATGTCCCTTTTGGGTGATTTTGAACATACTAAGGGACATTTACCAAGCCCTGTTTTTGTTGAGCCCTTACTAAAGTTCGGGGTATCCAACTTGGGCCCGATTTTGATGGGGCATCCCCAAGTCCCAGAAAAGTTCTGTGGGGGTATATAACGTGTTTATCAGACACATATATATATATAATATATATAATATATATATATATATTCTATATATGTATATCCTAAAGGTCTGTACTTGGCAACTGAGAGTTCCTTTGCTTCATCTAATCTAAACTGTTTCGCCTGGCAAAAAGCCAGTCGTTGCTTGTTTTGCCTACCTCCAACATGTTGGGCCTCCGAAAAAAATCCAGCAGCTCCGGCCCGTTCACAGCTCGCCCATCGGGTTGAAACAAATCAAGTTGTTTCTGGTTAAATGTACAATGTGGGGCCCCCCAGTGATGTTTTTTGGTTTATAAACCCCATGAAAACTATAGTTATATTAAGCCATAGGGGTATATATATATATAAAGATATGTACCCTCTGGTAAATTAAACAGTTCGACCCTGGCAGATAGGGGTTGGAAGACTAGTTTCCACTAAGAATTGACTATTTTCAGGGTCTATGTTAATTTACTGGAGTGTAATAATATCACCAAATAGAATGGTTTGAATGTGCATGTATATATGTATATATATATATATACATAATGGGTCTTGGATTTGCTTAAGGCCCTCCCACTAAAGAAAAAACTTGGATTTCCCAAATGGTTGGTTTCCCATTGGGAAAACACCAAAAAAAACAATGACTAAACAATCCCATGTGAACTGATATAACATAATACTAACATACACTAACAACAACGATATAGTTTGAAGAAACATAATATAACGAAATAATAGTCATATCGAAAATGGTGGTCAAATCCTATGAAATGATCAATGGATTGGTTTTAAGGGAAAATCTACAGGAAACCATATCGATTTTCCCACTAAATATGGTTTTTTCCTGTCAATTTTCCCTTAAACCAATCCATTTTAATATTACCTTTTTTTGGGGAAGAAACTTCCATAAATCCGATCTATTTTAGGTCCAGCGTCGGGACGTCCTTGCTCACCAAGTTTGCGACTGGATCCACCTGGCCAACAACGCCAGAAGAACGATTCACCCATTGCCAAACAAAGAATGGCGTGCAAAACATGGTTAACCATGGATATTATGGAATAGTATGGAATATGAATGATAATAAAAATAAAAAAAACTAATAATAATAGTAATAATATGTGAATATATATATATATATATATGTAAAATATAAAAAATAGAATATATATAGTACATATATACATATATATATAATGATATAGTATATATAATAATATTTGATATTAAATATAGTATATATAATATAGTATATACAATATAGTATATATTATATAGTACATACAATATAATATATAATATAGTATATAGTAATCGTGCAGTTATTTGTGTAGCCTTGAATCATTCACTATCCAGTGGGTTTTAACAACTATGAAGCTTAGTCATTCCATTGAATCCTGGTTGGATTAGAACGAGATTTCCAGTTCATCGATGATGGTAATCCCGGTAATCCCCACAGTTATGGCCCTTTACCAGTTATAAGTACTTATAACCCCATTTATAGAAATGTATATTCCCATTTATAACCTGTTATAACTAATAAATGGCCATAACTGCAATAATACAGCAACCGACAGAGATTTAGCAGCCACAGCTCAATTGGATTCGTACGGTGTTTTAGGATTTAAAGAAGTGCTTTCTATAGCCAAAGAACAATTGGGTTTTGACTGAAAATTCATGGGGCACCCAAATTCCATGGGATTGGCATATCATTGTGCCCATTTTATCACAATTGGATGTGCTGAAGGTCCCCCTTAAGCAGCAAAAAACTATAGTTTCCCCCTTTCAGTGGGTTTCTTAATGGGAAAATAATAATGGTCACCTTCATAATGACATACCCTCTTGTTCTTCAACAGTTTGCTATGGAAACCATGACCCATTTATGTTTACTTCATTGACGTGGTGATTTACCGAACTTCAACATGCTGATTCTCCAGGTAGCTATCTGTGAAAAATTGCCCGAAACAGCCATTTACTTGCCATTTGGATGGTCTATCCCCCCATGCACAGCACCGCACCATAGCAGGTTGCACTTGCACCCCTTGATGGCTCTCTTCGCCGGAGACCTCTTTGTTTGGGATGTGTCAGGATGATGTGATATGATGTGATGCAAAAAAAACACGTAGAATGGGAATATCACCAGCTGAAAATTGGAAGAACATTGTATATATATACAATGTGGGGCCCCCCAGTGATGTTTGCTGGTTTAGATTCACCCCCATAACTATAGTTATTTGCGCACCATAAACCATAGTGAAATTGGAGTTATAAACCAACTTAGCTATCGAAGGGGGCCCACATTGTATGTATTTATACATATTATATCTAACTCTCCAGTATGTCTGTTGGTTTATTGCCCACAATTGCCCACATGAATGCTATTATAGACATATCAATCATAAACCCTAGTATTAGATATAAACCATTGAGCTAACAAACTGGGGCCCAAACTTTTTTGGGGATTCAATGGCCCGGTTTAAGGGAACATCTACCCTCCAGCAAATTAACAGAGACCCTGCTAAAGAGGGGGTTGGAAAACAAACATTACCTAAAATGGACAATTTGCAGGGTCTATGTTAATTTGCTAGATGTTATGTGGTTTTTGTAGCTCGATAATATGTGGTATCATAATAATTGGTATTCAATATGACAATATGGTGGTTTCCTAAAATAGGGCTACCCTCAATTCATCCATTTTAGATTGGGATAACCATCTTTTTTATAATAATTGAGGGTAGAAAATCATATTAAAATGGGGTACCTGAAATAGGCGTTTCTATAATTACTACCATTTTAATAGGGGTACCCCATTTCAGGAAACCTCCATGCATTGGGTTTACAACGGCTTATGCTGGTGATCCCATGGATTCATTCCATGACATGCAACGGTGCATGACCTCCACAGAAAGGGTATCTCTCTCCCTCTATGGATAGATAGATTAGTTTAGATTAGATTAGATTAGTCTAACCTAATCTGAACTAATCATTAGGTTAATTTTGATTAGATGGGGTTGAATTAGATCAAAGTAGATAGGTAGAGGTGGAGATGGAGATAGAGGTAGAGATAGAGATGGATATAGGGATTGATATAGAGATGGAGATGGACACATAGATACTAAATATTAGACATTAGACATTAGATATTAGATATTAGACATTTGATTTTGGATATTAAAAGTTATAAATATAATATTAAAACATATACAATACATCGATAGATAGAAATATAGACATACACATATAGATATACATCAAAAGATATATATTTATATGTATATATAAAACTATATACAATACACATATATATATATATTTAGAAATAGGTAAATAGATTTATAGATATATAAACTTATAGATATGTACATGTATAAATATATATATATATATGTGGATATAGACATAGATAGATCACGCTGTAATTACAGTATTCCAGAATTGTTTGTTTTTACTTATATTCTGTATACATATATATATATATTTACATGTATATATAAATATATACTGTATATATGTTCATATGCTGGATCAATTAAAATTATTCACTAAGCTGGAACTACGTAATTCATCCAGATGAATTTATCAGTAAACATCTTGGATTTATAATTTATATATATATATATATATTCTATATTGCTTGAAAATAACCCATGTTTAGTGGAAACTAATCTTCCAAGCCCTACCTGCCAGGGTGGAACTGTTAATTTACCAGAGAGGATATATTCCATCTCTCTATATATATATAATTATATATATATGGTACCCCCCCCTGAGATCTACCTCAGAGCATTTTGATAAATTGTCTCTACATGTATAATATATATATATATATAAATATGTGCATATATGTATCAGAGTCAGTTATTTGTTTAAAGATGTCTTGTGGGTAGTAGCTGTGCACACTATCAAATCAAGTTGGAAACAAATTACTTCACTTCGAATGACCCCCACCATGGCATTTATACATTTTCTTACTGGCAAATCTTCTGGCATTCTATCTGGCATATCTTCTGGCATTCTATCTGGCATATCTTCTGGCATTCTATCTGGCATATCTTCTGGCATTCTATCTGACATATCTTCTGGCATTCTATCTGGCATTCTATCTGGCATATCTTCTGGCATATATTCTGGCATTCTATCTGGCATATCTTCTGGCATTCTATGTGGCATATCTTCTGGCATTCTATCTGGCATTCTATCTGACATATCTTCTGGCATTCTATCTGACATATCTTCTGGCATTCTATCTGGCATTCTATCATGGCATTCTATATCTTCTGGCATATCTTCTTCTGGCATTCTATCTTCTGGCATTCTATCTGGCATTCTATCTGGCAAATCTTCTGGCATTCTATCTGGCATATCTGTTCTGGCATTCTATCTGGCATTCTATCTGGCATATCTTCTGGCATTCTATCTGGCATATCTTCTGGCATTCTATCTGGCATATCTTCTGGCATATGGCATTCTGGCATATCTTCTGGCATTCTATCTGGCATATCTTCTGGCATTCTATCTGGCATATCTTCTGGCATTCTATCTGGCATTCTATCTGGCATTCTATCTGGCATCTTCTGGCATTCTATCTGGCATATCTTCTGGCATTCTATCTGGCATATCTTCTGGCATTCTATCTGGCATATCTTCTGGCATTCTATCTGGCACATATCTTCTGGCATTCTATCTGGCATATCTTCTGGCATTCTATCTGGCCGTTGAGGTCCGGCAGTGCCCACTGGGATCTGGAGCTCGCGGTTGAGGTCCGGCAGTGCCCACTGCGATCTGGAACTCCCACTGGGATCTGGCGCTCGCGGTGGAGGTCCGGCTGTGCCCACTGGGAGCTGCGAGGAGGAGGAGGCGGAGGACGTGGAGGAGGCGGATGCGGGGAGGAGGAGGAGAACAGCTCTGATAAAATCTAACAACCCTCACCTGGCAGGTGGGGAAAAAACAATATTTGACGACTCTTTGGGAGAGAATCCATGGGGAAAACCAAAAAAAAACAAAAAAACTCGAGAAAACCAACAAAAAACAATATTTGGAAACTCTTTGGGAAAGCCCCATTGACAAAATCAAATTACTTTACTTCGTGTGATCCCCACCGTGACATTTTTACATTTTCTGAATGGCAAATCTTCTGGCATTCTATCTGACATATCTTCTGGCATTCTATCTGGCAAATCTTCTGGCATTCTATCTGGCATATCTTCTGGCATTCTATCTGACATATCTTCTGGCATTCTATCTGGCATATCTTCTGGCATATATTCTGACATATCTTCTGGCATTCTATCTGGCATATCTTCTGGTATATCTTCTGGCATTCTATCTGGCATTCTATCTGGCATATCTTCTGGCATATCTTCTGGCATATTATCTGGCAAATCTTCTGGGATTCTATCTGGCATATCTTCTGGCATATGTTCTGGCATATCTTCTGGCATTCTATCTGGCATATCTTCTGGCAAATCTTCTGGGATTCTATCTGGCATATCTTGTGCCATTCTATCCGACATTTTATCTGGCATACCTTCTGGCATTCTATCTGGCATATCTCATAGCATTTTATCTGGCATATCTTCTGGCATTCTATCTAACATTCCATCTGGCATATCTTCTGGCATTCTATCTGGCATATCTCATGAGGTCCGGCAGGGAACACTTGGCGTGGATACTCGCGGTTGAGGTCCGGCAGGGAACACTGGGCGTGGATGGTCGTGGTTGAGGTCCGGCAGGGAACACTGGGCGTGGATGGTCGTGGTTGAGGTCCGGCAGGGAACACTGGGCGTGGATGGTCGTGGTTGAGGTCCGGCAGGGAACACTGGGCGTGGATGGTCGTGGTTGAGGTCCGGCAGAGAACACTGTGGATCGCGGGTCGCAGTTGAGCAAGGACGACGAGGACGACGAGGACGACGAGGACGACAGGACGACAAGGACGACAAGGAGGAGGAGGAGGAGGAGGACGAGGCAGGAGGAGGCGGAGGAGCAGGAGGAGGCAACTGACATAAAATCTAACAACCCTCACCTGGCAGGTGGGGAAAAAACTTCGAGAAAACCAAAAAAACAAAAAAACAAAACTTTTCAGAAAATGTTTGGTCTGAGGCTCATGTTTGTTTTTTTTGGTTTTGCCTAGGTTTTTTTGTTTTTTTTGGGTCTTGACCTTGAAAAAACAAAAAAACTCAAGTTTTTTGTTTTTGGGATAAAATGATGGTTAAAGAATTGTGAAAAACAAAAAACTCAAGGGTTGTTTTGGTTTTTGGGTGTTTGTGGCTTTAGATTCTTTTTGGCCGCGCAATGAAAAACCAAATCAAGAAAACTCTAAGTATAAAGTAAGACAGCTGAGGAGCTATGAAATATCCAGAGAGCAAATAGAGGAGAGCTGTGGAATGAGAAAGGAACTGCCAGGGAATGCCTACAGCTCACAGTAGAGACAAGATCTGCATCCTTTCACCTCAGTGGTCTAGACAACGTTTGCAATCTATTCCCTTGCAATGCAATGGATGTGTCAAGCCCACCACTCTGTAGTAGAGACAAGATCTGCATCTCGTGATCTAGACAATATTTGCATCCCTGCTGTGCATTAAGTGCGACAAGCCCAAGAAGATTTACAGTTCAGCACCTTGCAGCACGAAGAGTGAGTTTGCCAAGTCTTGTACAGCTGATTGATTGCATGCACTTCACAAAACATTGGTCAAGTGGTTCATGGCAAAGTCCTAGATGGCCTTACTTGAGCAACTACGGCGATGGGGTAAAACAGGTTGCGTGTCTGCTGTGTGTATCCTAGCTAGTTCTACCGTTCTACCTGTAGCAAATTTCTGTCTTCTCTTTGCTTGCTTGCTTGCATCAAAACTATCAACTTCCATGTGCACATGCCCTGTTGGATCCTTCCAGCAGCTGCCAACTTTTGCATGCAGCATGTACAACTGGTCATTTCACTTGAAACGCATCTCTTCTCAAACAAGCTCCTTGCATCAGAGCCTGATGTTTCCATATACACATGCACTTCTGTATTCCAAAAACATTTGCCCACATCTTCTCACAAAATTCCAAGTGAGCAAAGTCACTGCAAACTTAACTGAAGTGTGCAGTGAGTTTGATCATGTCTGGTGAACTCACTCCACACTTAACTGAAGTGTGCAGTGAGTTTGACCATGTATGTCTCTTGAAGAGCATCAAAAGTAGATCCACATCTGCTCAAAAAAAATCAAGTGATCAAACTCGCTGCACACTTAACTGAAGTGCGCAGTGAGTTTGATCATGTCTGGTGAACTCACTGCACACTTAACTGAAGTGTGCAGTGAGTTTGACCATGTATGTCTCTTGAAGAGCATCAAAAGTAGATCCACATCTGCTCACAAAATTTCAAGTGATCAAACTCACTGCACACTTAACTGAAGTGTGCATTGAGTTTGATCATGTCTGGTGAACTCACTGCACACTCAACTGAAGTGTGCATTGAGTTTGACCATATCTGGTGAACTTGCTGCACCCTTTATTGAAGTGTGCACTGAGTTTGACCATGTACGTCTCCAGAAGAGCATCAAAAGTAGATCTTAGGGGGGGGGCTAGCATATATATATATACATATACATATACATATACATATATATATGCATGTATATCTCATATATCCCATGTAAAATAATATCGAAGAAAATGAAGCCATCAACATGCCCATGCCAACGTTGCGGCATCCCTGGGGCCCCGGACCCAGCAGTCGCACTCATTGCCTGTGACCATTAATGGGGTTTCCATGGGAGATCCCCTTAACATGTATGGTATGGTTTATTTCATGGAAAAAAAAACATTGAAATGGATTAACTAGGAGTACCCCCATGACTTGGGAAACCGTGATAAATAGCATAACTATAGTCATTATTAAATTGATAATGAACAAGTAATTATGTGAAGGTCACTAGAGTCACTAGAGATTAAGTTGACGGTCACCATCAGTGACTGGTTAAACCACTGGATCACAACCGTCGGTGATACATCTAACTTCATAACATACTATGATCTTGGTATGCAATCACCATTATACTCACATGTGTAGCGGTTCATGATGACCATTGGATCTGAATATGATAGAACTTATCAATACTATTGTCATTATGTTATGTTTGTTATCAAGAACATATCAGGATGATCATGTTCAACAGCATGTGCGGTTAAGTCGATGAATAGAGGAATATGATAAAGATCATGAAAATAACGCAAGTAGATAGGTCTAATTGAAAGCATTTGATAAAACATGACCATAAATCAAGTTCTAGTACTAGCTAGATTTATAACCCTGGAATCCCTCTAGGAAGCCAAAATCAGGACTTATTTCTTATGATTTCAATATGGTTTTGATATGTTTGTGATATAGTTTGGGTTGTGGTTTAGATATGGTTTTGATATGGTTTGGGAACGGAGCGCCTTTTTCAGTGATTCAGGGTTCCCAATGCGTTGGCTTCAAGAAAGGAAACAGAAACAGCCCAGGGACAGGCTTTTGGTCGATTTCCCGAGGGTTTTTGTGGTTTTGATATGATTTTGATATGGTGTTGATACGGTGTTGATACAGTTTTGATAATTTTGATTTGATTTTGTTATGGTTCTGGTGGGTTGGCTTCAAAAAAGGAAACAGAAACAGCCCAGGGACAGGCTTTTGGTCGATTTCTCGAGGGTGTTTGTGGTTTTGATATGATTTTGATATGGTGTTGATACGATTTTGAAACGCTGAGGGTGACCTAGTGTTTTCCCAAGTTTTTTTGCCCAAGCCATTGAGGAATCCGCATTTCCTCACCTAAAGCAAGCGAAAAAAAGGTGCACAGGAGACTCAGGAGACTGTCTCAACTTGCATGGAAATAGCATCTGATTATAACAATGATTTGCAAATTTATCACAAATGTCCTGCAGATTGGAACTTGCAAATTATGATATTATAAATGGAACTCGCAAATCCCATAAAAATCACAATTTTGAATTATAACTGCAAAAGCAGGAAGCAAATCATAACAACAAATCATATCTAAATCACATCAAAAACATTAAAAATAACAACATTAAAAAATAACAACATATTTTTGAAAAACCTCCATCCGAGAGACTTCGGATGTTATAAAGCTAGACCAACCTTTGCATATCTAGCTGAATTACACCAAATATCAATACTTCATCAACCTGAAACAGTTCAACCATTCTGGGATAGTTCCAAATGTTGCAGTGAAGTCAGTTGAATTCTCCAAATATACACCATTATATCCCATGATTTCCCGAGTATACATATATATTTAGAGTATAGTCTGCTCAAAGGATATATGGTAGGTGCATATGTTTATAAATATCCACTAAAAAAAGGAATTCTATTTGTAGTGATGGTGTGGTGTGTGTATTTACAGACTTATAAATCTCTATATATAGATATAAACAGTACATGAAAAGTGTGTATATCTATAGAGTAAGGATATAGAACTATATAGTGTATATACATATATACATTGTATATATATATATACAGTATATAAACATAGTTTAGAGTATATAGTATATATATATATATAGTATAGATTTATATATGTATATAGTATCTATATATAATATAAAAATATGATGTATAGAGTATACATATATCTATAGTAATTATATATATACACTCTATATACTGTATATGTACTCTATCTATTATAGTATATATACTATACATATAGTATATCTTTAGTATATGTATTATATATACAGTACATATATAATATAGTGTGTACGCAATAATAATAGTAATAATAATAATAACAATAATAGTAATAATAGTATATATATAGTAGATAGTATATATGTACAGTATATATGTATAGTATAGTATATCCGTCGAAAATCTGGGCAGCCCCGAGGCCCCGACCCAGGCGCGCTAAGTCCTGACCCATGGCGCCGTGGCGCCGCCACGGGTGTGGCTGACTGTGGCGTGTATAAACCAACTAACAGAATTGGGGGGGCGTCATACTTGCATCGTTTTTTGGCATGTCTGATATTTATGTATCGTTTTTTTTGGCATTTCTGTGTCTTTTTTTTGGCGTTTCTGATCTTGTGAATGACATTCTGTGTGTTTTGCTGTTGTGTGTGTTGATTCGAAGTACGGTAGATAAAAATTCCATATTCTCCAAAACTTGTGCCCAAACCGAATTGGCCTGTGTGTAAAAAAAGCATATGTGTTGCAATCTGCTTGTGCGTTTATATCCAGTGTAAGCACAGTTAAATCAAATGTTTCAATGTCATCTGTTTTCCGGCTTGAGACTGAGTGTGATCGGTTGACACAAGATTCAAGATACGATAAAAACAATGACTTATTGACTTAGATTGACTTAGCATCTGCGGATCAATGCTGCCCTAGTTTGGAAAATCATTACGGAAACCAGTCTGTACCCTCAGTGTTCCCCACCAGTACCAAGTAAGATGCAAAGTGCCATTGCTAACACCGCCACAGTTCATCGAAGGTCCCCAGTCCGGGAGCAAGGTTACCCTCTGGCAAACATGGCTTGCTGGACAATTCCCCATTCATAGACTACTGTGGATGGAAGAAATCCTGCACCACCTCGGATGGTTCAAACCCTATAATTCATGGGATAAACCATCAACTGGTGCAGGATTTCGCTGGCCCATCCACAGTAGTTTCCCATTTAAATGCAATTTTTTCGATACGGATCTCCAAGCCAGCCATTACGGTATATTCGGTATATCATATTTCGATATATTTCCCATCTCCCATGATCTTCCGCCATGTTACTTCCCGAAAAACCACGCTCATCCCAATTATACATCCCATCATTAAAAGGTTTATGAATCACTATATGGCTATGAGACAAAACCCTGAGACTAGATAGCTGCTTAATGGCTGTTTATTCCCCCAAAGATGGTAACGATTATGGGTTTTGACACATACCCATATATTGTATTTTGATGTATTTTGCTTATATAATCATTATTGGCGTTATATCCCCAATCACTATTGTATATCCCAGTAAACCAGTATTTATTGATTTTATTTCTTTTAATGTGCCTCGAACAAATAAATGGTTCCCATGATATTCCCATGATATAACCCATATGCTCCATGTATGGAATATCTACCCACATTTGCCCGAACAAAATACCCCGGTTTTGCAGGAAAATGTACCATACATGGAGCATATGGGTTATATTATACGATGCTATATAGTAGTTGAAATCATATTTCATGATATATAATCCCCATGCTTCACCCTAAATATATAGATATACGGTGACAAATGAATGGTTATCATTGTATGATATATACAGTAGATAAATATATAGATAAATGGTTATCATTTATGAATGATAAATGCATATATAGATAAATCTGGTTTCATTATATGACATGCTCATACATGATATAACCATAAATGGGGACTATACGATTCCCCATTGTGTCCCTTTAGAAAATGCTGACACATCTGTGATAATGAGACTGTCTGGACTCATGGTCCAGGTGGCGCAAAACTTTGAGGGTCCAAGTATTCCCAGCAGGGTATAGCAGGGTTGGCCTGGCTGATGAAACTAGTCAATTTTTACTATATGTATACTACATGCCTTTTTATTCAATTGCAGAAATGACATGAGATATATATATATGTATATATATGTATATATATGTATATATATATACATGTATATATGTATATATATATATATACAGAGTTATACATAATGTTACAGTATATATATAATTACCACTAGTATTTAATCCTTCAGTCCTTCAGAAAAACCTCCGAAAATCTTCGGAAGGGCCGCATATACCGAAACCGCCATTTCTATTGCGCAATGGTACCAGACCGAGCTTATGCACAGGGGCCAACTTTAGGCCGCCCAGTCTCGCCATGATGGAGACATGGCCACTGATTACATATATCTACATATCCTACATCCTCGATGAACTTCTCATCACCAAAATCATAGACAGTACTCACTTTAGATGTCTAGATGTAGATGTAGATGTCACTGATGTCACTGATACCAATCATATCGATGTAGATGTACCAATAATATGACATCAGTACCAATAATATCCAGCTGATGTAGATGTCACTGATGTCACCTTGCTCCATTGCAACTAAAAAATAATTCACCACGGAAGCTGTTGCTCAAAAGATGCAATGATGCACTGTTGAAAAAACTCTTTGCATCATGAACAACATAAACTTAAACCTGTATGTTCATCAGATTTGATAGCCCTATGAAAATGGATGGCAAAGATTTGGTACAGTAGCCTCTCATTCTGTCTCCGAGCAAAAAACATGTGAAATGGCTGTGTCCGAAGCTAAGCAGCTAAGGATACACAACACGTATATCTTATACTAAAAAACCGCTGAGCTGGTATTGTTTGTGTGTTTGTGAGGGACACAATTTGTTGATGTACCCAAAGGAGCTTTGAACAATAATACTGGTTGGTTAAAAACGGTCTCCCGGATCATAGTGGGGTATGTCATTATCCCAACCAGATAGATGAAAACCACGCTTCATAGCCGATCAATAAAGAATCAACCATCCCATATCAAGTATCAACATCACTTTTAAGCTATTAAGCATGCAAAAACACTAATTTGGTGCTTAGATCCGTTAGATCCCATATAGTTCACCCCAGAAATTCAGCAGGGGTATCTGTCGTATATGTCGTATATGGCTCAAGTGGTGATTGTGCCATGCTCCATCACAGCGACTTCGTGGCACGCGGCTTCGTGGCGACTGAAAAGTGAGACGATCATCCCATGAAGCCTAAGTGGTTCGTGGTCAGGTGTCCTTTTTTCGTGCCTTATCTTATGTACTCTGAAGTATTCCCAGTAATCTAAATGGATTCGAAGTATGGTTCTATATGGTGCTGAAAAAACCCTGAGATCATTATCTGCCCAAGACCTCTGCAAGATTTTCTTTCTGAGAGATCCACCAATTTCTGCGTCGCACTTACATCCGCCTCTCTAAGTCATCCAGCTGTGCCTGGCTGGGAAGTTCATCGAACTAGCCATGGAGGTGTCAATCGGACGACCATCTCTCTCTCTCTCTCTATATATATGATGATGATGCGTCGCCCGTCGTCATTGCGGGTCCGGGCAAAACCCAGGCATTTGCCGTATATATATATATATATATATATGGTGGATTTATATAATGGTGGATTTATATATATATATATATGTATATATATAGGGTGGATTTAAAGTATTAAAATATTGAAACAATGATAGTTGGATAGCTGATTTAATTTGTGGATTTGAATATGATAACATGTCTATGATGATAGCTGATTTAACTATAATAATGGTGGATTCAAACCCTCTGGCAATTTACTCCACTGTGTTAAGCAAACTTGCCCATTTAGTGAGACATGATTTAGAGTGCTTTTGACATGCTGATTCTTCCACTTCGCCAACTGTAACAACAACACCAAAAGGTTTTCTGTTTTGTCCATTGCCAGGTTAGGAAAAAAAACAATATTTACCCTCTGGAAAATTAACATAGATCCTGAAAATCACATGTTTTTAGTGGAAACTAATCTTCCAAGCCCTATCTGGCAGGGTCGAACTGTTAATTTACTGGAAGGTAACTGAGTAAATCCCATCTACAACTGGCTCTGGGGTTGGGTCATAGTTTTGCCACAGAAACTGGTGACCTACAACTCTGCGCCAACAGGCCACTATGCCAACAGAAGTCCAGCAATAGATTCAAGGCTCTAAATGATAGATTACCCCAGCTGTGCAACAAGACTTACAGCATCTAGAATTGAATCTTCCGTCATCTTCTCCTCCAAGTGACACGTTTTGGAATTTTTGGAAGGTACCAAACTATGTGCGTACCATGTGTATATCTAGATAATCAAGTGAGCATTCAGTAATTCAATGAGCACTTTGTTCTGCTCACACCATGTTTGTGGTTAGCTCATGCTAGATCTAGGCTCATGTTGGTTTCTTCTGCTCACTTGAGTAGTGTCCTTTATCGTTGTCTTTCGATGACCACTAACATATCGCCTACGCAACTGTCTACGCCGAGCCTACGCCATTGCGTGAGATAGCCTACGCGGGGTATGGCTTTGCCTACTAAGCGGCCATGGCTGTTTTTGTTCTCAATTGTGGAATGAGGCTTTGGAACCACAAGCCACAAATATCCAACTAACAAAGACAAAATACTGGTTGGTTTATAGGGATTTCCCTATTGGATTATTGTAGTCCCCAATATATTGGGTAGTATGATCCCCTATAATCATCACCCAACAGGGGTTTTGAACACTGCTCAAATGAGTTCTAACTGTTGCCAGCGAGTGTCTACACAAAGCCTACGCTTTGTGTAGGCTAAAACGAGCCGTCGCGCCGATGCCTACACAACCTACACAACCTACATGGGAGCCTTGTGGAGTTCCCACTTCATCTACTTTTCTGCATCAAGACAAAACGCTACTCACTTGAACTGAATTAAAACAACACGTATGTCTTCATTCATGGACGGTTGTTTACACGTTTCTACAAGGTATTTGCGCTCCAAATGCTTCCTTCATCGTGCATGACGCAACAGACATGCCCAGAGTGGAAGAACCAGCCCATTTGAAGAAACTACCCTTCAAAACTATAACTACAGTATGTCCTCAACATTTTTTCATCTGTTCCAGCTGGATCTTCCGAAATAAGGTGTCTCTACACCCATCCGAGACGCCGCCCGAAAACGGCCCGACCTCCGAGGCTCTCATGAACTCATCCACAAAGAGTTCGTCCTCAGACAGCTCCTGCAGATCTGCAGGATGTAGATTGAAAGATCATGTATTTTTCTGTTTGTAATGGGTACAGTATAGTGTATTCTTGGGTTGGTATATAATGCAAAGATATGTATGTATATATATAATAGTGAATCTATCTTATAATAATTAATATTATATAGACAATGAGTATATTATAATGAGACTATGATGATAAGTTTTGGGTTGTAATGGATATATACACATACTGTTGAATTTACATATATATATATATATATATACACAGATTTAGACACTAGTGACTAGTGTATCATTTGCATACCCTGGCCTATGACCAAATGGTAATATGATGGGTATACAATATAACGTGTATGTAATCGATATCTGTGTATATATATATATATATATTTGTATGTATTCTGTATCTGTGCAAGTAGAATGATTAATGTGGATATAGTTGGGATAGAATGTGGGAAACTAGGTACCCTCTGGTAAACTAACATAGCTATGGAAAAACACAATTTTTAATGGGTAAATCCACTATAAATAGCCATTTTCAATAGCTATGTTAAATTACCAGAGGGTATATCCAGACTCTTTTTGGCAAGTCCCAAGTTGCTGACATTGATCCAAATACAGTTCAGTCTACGTTCTTCGGTTTGTACTCAGCAACCAATTTCCTATCAAACAGTAACATATTGCCCGTTGTATCGCCTGTAGGTATGTCCTCTTTGTTACTGGATATGATAATATCAATATCATTCAATATCCATATCATGGATTTGCTTAAGGAACCACCAAAAAATAACAACTATTCCCTTCATCGATTCCCCAGTCGTAGCGGATTTCCCATATGGACATGTTTTTTCCTTCAGCAAATCCAAGATAACACCCAATTCCCCCAATAACAAGGCTTTGTTAAGGTTTATTAACCACCAATGGACCAACAACTCATAAAGCTTGATTCTCCAGCTGGAGAAAGGTGGTAGAATCACTTGGGCACTCTTTTGGATTCGAAAAAGGAAGCGGGAGGATTTTACACACTCCACTCCACTTGTATATGCATTACATTTATTATATATATATATCATATATCCGTTATAAACTTTATATACCATAGATATTAGAAGAAATTATATACCAACTATATGTCCAGAAATCCTGTTTTTAAAAAAGAAAATACGCTGCCCATCGTTGAACACTCACCTTGAAACTGGAAGACATCAAGAAATGTCACCGAAGAAATGGGAAATCCCGAATGATTTTCATGTGTTCATCAATGTCCTCAACCATTGCTATAATATCATCCAATATCATCTAATATCATAATATCATCCAATATCATCTAATATCATCTAATATCATCCAATATCATCTAATATCATAATATCATCCAATATCATCTAATATCATCTAATATCATCTCATATCATCTGATATCATCTAATATTATCTAATATCATCTAATATCATCTAATATCATCTAATATCTAATATCATCTAATATCATCTAATATCATCTAATATCATCTAATTTCATCTAATTTCATCTAGTATCATCTAATATCATCTAATATCATCTAATATCATCTAATATCATCTAATATCATCTAATATCATCTAATATCATCTAATATCATCTAATATCATCTAATATCATCTAATATCATCTGATATCATCTAATATCATCTAATATCATCTAATATCAATATTTCCAGAATGCCAATATCATCCAATATCAATATTCTCAACCATTGCTGACAGGTCCCATGCAGCTGGCAGAGTTGAAGCACATGCCAAGAATTTTGCTTTCGCAACACACTGGGAAAAATCATCCAACGAATTCTGGCTGCTCCAAGGCTTTGGGGGGTCAAGTTTTAGCAACTAGACCTCTTAGCAAGTCTTAGCTGAACATATCAGGAGAGGAACTGTCTGATTTATTCCAATGTGTAGCATCAAACTCGAATCAGAGATAAAAATCAACTATATGTTTTGTTTTTTTGACAGGATCCAATCTATCAAAACCCTGAGACATGGCTTTGTCTGAGTTTGTCCAAAAATATGATGTGTCCAAAAAACACGGGTTATCATTATAACGTCAACTTCCCCATTAACATATATGAGCTCATATCCAAACATGCCAATAAGATGCGATGACTCAAATTGTGACAATGTAATATAATATATACCCTCTGGTAAACTAACATAGCTATGGAAAATCACCATTTATAGTGGAATTTTCCATAAAAATGGTGATTTTCCATAGTTATGTTAGTTTACCAGAGGGTAAACCCAATGACATCAACCAACCGCTTTATATCACCAGAGTCATGGGCATGAACCATCAGACGTTGGGGGTAAAAATGGTACCCGGTTTTCCACATTGTATTTTTATCCACCCGTTCCGGACAAACTTATGACACCAAAATGGAAAGTATACAGCACCCCCCTACAATCATCAACCAACAAACCCTTGTTATATATAATTGTTCGCTACGTTAAATTTCCAGAGGGTATATCCCCTGTTTTCATGGTTCAATCACCATTAATCATCCAAATTGGAAATCATTCTCAAATCCCCCTGGGTAAAAACAGGTACTTTGCCGCGTCCTCGGCCGACAACTCCTCAAGCTCCCTATCGTTGCGGTTCCTTGGGATAGTTATGTCATTCCCTGAAACCCAAACAGGTTCCGTTGAAATAGGATAATGAGATGCTACCAACCAAAATGGGGATTGCTGTTTGATTTATGATGGCAAGTTGGAATCTGACTAGGCAAATTCAATGGTTTATCGTATATCGAATCAGTTTACGGACATTACACCCAACAAACAGAACCTGCAATAGGATATACATCATATTATATACATATATTATCATATATTTCATACCATATTATAGCATCTTGTTGCATTGCCATGCGTTACAAACGCTATTCTCCCATGCTTTCTGTTTCTATCCCCATGTTCAAACATCCAGATCCAATCCAAGTGAAGCCAAAGTTCTTCAGCCGCTCTCCGGTGGTGAGATGTTTGTTCAAAGGAACCTCCACCAGCTTGAAACCACTCAGGTTTCCCCAATGCCTGCGAGGATTTTAGGCTGATTACAAGCCATTTACTTACCATGCTGGCTGCAAGTCCAACACAGAATACCACATGTACCACATATATATATACATACATAATGCAGTATATTCTGTGTGGTACGTATTCTATGTTTCAATTCAGAATTCCTTAATTAAACATGTACAGTAAAAGCCGTTCACGAAGCATGTGCAAAGTACCAACCTTAGAACGTGTTTTTTTCCACTCCCAAGTTATCAGTCAATACAGATTGCTTATGTAACGATTCCTGTTTGCGGTGAAAAGGAAAATAGACTTGAAAACGCCAGGCAAATTGATTTTGAAAGTTACCCTCTGGTAAACTAACATAACTATGGAAACTCACAATTTTTAATGGGAAAATCCACTATAAATGGCAATTTTCAATAGCTATTTTGACATAACCAGAGGGTATATCCAGACTCTTTTTGGCAAGTCCCAAGTTACTGACATTGATCCAAATACAGTTCTATAGCGTTCTGAACGGTTTGTACTCAGCAACCAATTTCCTATCAAACAGTAACATATTGCCCGTTGTATCGCCTGTAGGTATGTCCTCATTCTTACTGGATATGATAATATCAATATCCATATTATGGAATTGCTTAAGGAACCACCAAAAAATAACAACTATTCCCTTCATCCATTCCCCAGTCGTAGTGGATTTCCCATATGGAAAAATAATAAACAAATCATCTTCAGCAAATCAAAGATAACACCCAATGAAGTATAGATTATATGTCTACCATAGATTATATGTCCATATGATTCCAATATCCATATCCATATTAATATCCATATGATTCCAATGATCCTTGCTGAACGTTGACGCTATAACGGCCTTTGTTTAGCCTTGCTGCGCAATCCCCGATTCTTCCCGGATGCATCACTGCTGATCAAGTCTTTGCTTTGGCCAAAAAATCGGTGTAGAAGTGTAGAACTGGCACTGGATAGTTTATTCCAGTTATATATGGAGATTTCCACAGTCATAGGGGTAATTACCCCAGTTATCATCCATTTATACTGGTTGGATCTGGTTCGTGTGTATAAGGTCTTAACAGGGAGTATACCTAGGGACCTTTAATGGGAATATATCGGAATATAACAGGATATAGTGGGAATATCATGGGAATCTGGTTGGTGGTTTCAACCTACCCCTCTGAAAAATATGAGTTCGACGGTTGGGATGATGACATTCCCAACTGAATGGAAAGTCATAAAAATTCATGTTCCAAACCACCAATCAGATAAGGTCTTAACAGGGAGTATACCCTTCAAATTTGACAGTTGATCATCATTTTTCTGAAGCATACTCCACGGTTCACGACTCGACATCACTGGACATTGCCCCTATTTAAGCGACTGAAGTAACTGGGGCTGCACTTACCCATGAATTACCATCCGTTGTCATCAAACATGGCGTGACAATCCTCCGGCAAGTGTTCGGTGATTTTCGTAGCGTAAACAATCTAAACCTTCATTTACAGATAATTTCCCATACGGTCCTATTCTGGTTGGTGGTTGACCTACCCCTCTGAAAAATATGAGTTCGTCAGTTGGGATGGTGACATTCCCTATATATGGAAAAATAAAAATCTGTTCCAAATCACCCATCAGTGTTTGTTGATTTATAAACCATGAATTAATCACCATTAACTAGTTCGTTACATATACCATAAACCATCATTAAACCACCAATCAATTAAATCATAGACCAATCATCTGTATAATTGGAACTATTAATAGACCAAACAGTTCCACCATTTTTCCTATAACTTTATAGCACTTCAAGATTTTCACCAATCATTTCCGGTGGTTTTCCTATGGATTTCCCGAGTTTTTCCCGTATTCCAAGGATTCCAAGGACCCAGCAGCATGCGTGTGGCCGCTTGGTCTGGCACAATGGACACCACCATGCCCTCCACTGGCTCGGACGATCCTGGCCTTAGATGTCGGTTTAGAATGGAAAAATCCCAATCGAAAATGGATGAAAAGAGGGTCTTGAACTTGGAATCTTGGATAAATTAGATATATATATATATATGTGTGTGTTCATATATATATATATTATATATATATGTATATATATATGTATGAAATTGTATTTATACCTATATTTATTTATTCATTGTTGTTTATATATATATGTATATATATATGTTTATTTATGTATGTATTAACTAGTTAATTTACTTTATTGTTAGTACTATATGCTATTATCATCATAATTTCGTATTATCATTATCATATGAAAACAATCAGTATTATTAAAATTATATCATTATTATGGTTTATTACTATGGATGAGTATTACAGTAGTTGTTGAGATACAAGGGTACAAGGTGGTGCCCACAAGTTCAAAGTTTGTAACTTATAACTATAACCCCTTGAACTAGTTCGATATAGCTTGGGACCTTTCTTGATAAAACCCAATGGAACTATTTTAATAATCTAAAAACAGTGGAACTATTTGCAAAATCAAACGAAAACCCTGGGAACTATATGAAAACACACAAAGAATCCATGGGGATTGTGGGTTAAGATTGAAAATCATTGAGAGAGTGGAAGGAGCAGAGCTCAATTTCTATTCATGACATGTTTTTTTTGTCTTATTCAGGAAAACACACACGGAATATAAAACCCACCAACCATCATCGACATCATGTTTCAAACGTATTCGGAAAGTTGCTTGGAAATTGTGTATTGCTCTGTGAATAATTCAAGGTCAGCAGCAAAATGAATAACCAACATGAAATACTGGTTCGATTTAGCAATCAACAGCCCACCAAGGACTGGAAAACGAAACGTATTATATTGTTATCGGTGGCTGCCCATTCATCCCAAAGCAAAAACTCTAGTTTGTAGTTTTTTTGAGTTATTTGCATCAACTTTGGCTCATCTATGGAGCATCGCCTTGCAAACTATAAACCACATTGTAAGATACTTACCCTCTAGTAAACTAAGATAACTATTCCAGATGACCATGTTTAATTGGTAAATAAACAGAAATAAACTATAAATGGTCATTGTCAATAGCAATGTAACAGTCATTACCAGAGGGTATAATCCTCAGTCGACCTTCATATTACAAGTCCTGTTTTTATGGAGGGAAACAAAGAAAAACTATGAAAAGCTGGTCCCGAACATCAAGGTCTGACCCATGTGGCGGGAAACATCTCAAAACATCGCAAAAATGGGGGGGTTTCCATACTCATGGAGGTACCCCAAAAATGGATGGTTTATTTTCAAGAAATATCCTATTGAAATGATTTGAAATGGATGAGAACTGGGGATAGCCCCCTTTCAGGAAACCTCCATTTGTTGACGTAAACACCCAAATCCACCCAAATCAATGCGGGTTGAACTATTTCGAAATCCGCCATCCGAAAGCAGATTGAAATCCCGTATTGTCCCATGTTGTTTTGCATGGCATCCCACATTTTTATGGGTAACAAACATAGCAGCTTAGCAAGTATTTGCCAGTTTGTGATCATGTTTTGGCATTTGTCGTGTGACAATTTCAAACGTAAACAAAATAATGAATGTACACCGAAAACTGCATTGAAATTATACATTACATTTTCAAAATCAGACAAACATGTAAACATGTCACTGCAGGATGTGTGCATCCTCCAACCAAGGAACCGACAATTCATACGATTTGGTTCTGAGATTGATGATCGGAATCTTTAAAACCTAACAACAAATTGCACGTTTGTTGCTTGCATACCCATGTGTTTCCATGTTGTTGGGTAAACAATCCATTTTTCCCTGGGTAAAGCACCAATCATCAGCATTTATCTCATTTTTGGAGGGTGAAATCAAGATGTTCTTCCATTTTTGATGGTTTAATCATGCACATCCTCACTTTCCTACAATGTGGTTGTGCCCACTCATAAGCTGGTTTATAACCGCATTAACTAGTTCGATATATCTACCATAAGTCCTGGTCATCAGAGTTATGTTCACCAACTCAGCTATCATAAATCAGCTACACATCCCATTAAATCCTCCATGTTTGTTGGTTTAATCTGGTTACCCTCTGGTGAACTAACATAGCAATGGAAAATGGCCATTTATAGTGGATTTTCCCATGAAAAATGGTGATTTTCCATTGCTATGTTAGTTCACCAGAGGGTAAATCAACATTTTCCGTTTTCGCTATGGGGCCCACCATCGATTTAGGATCCCAAGGTCCCAAGCTGGTAGCGACAGGTACGCCCCGCACAGTGCTGATAGTCCCCGACACCTGGGCCAGCTGTTTTTGATGGGGGTAATTACCCCAGTTATCATCCATTTAGCCTCTGGTAATTTAACATAGCTATTGAAAATGGCCATTTATAGTGAGTTTTCCCATTAAAAATTGTGATTTTCCATAGCTATGTTAAATTACCAGAGGGTATACTGGTTGGTGTGTATAAGGTCTTAACACGGAGTGTACCTAGGGACCTTTAATGGGAATATATCGGAATATAACGGAATTTTTGATGGGAATATCATGGGAATCTGGTTGGTGGTTTCAACCTACCCCTCTGAAAAATGATGGACTTCGTCAATGGGAAGGATGACATCCCATATATCAAGTGGAAAATAATCCAAGTTTGTTTGAAACCACCAAGCAGTATGTGTTTGATGAAACATGATGAAACAATGTGTATCATGGAATTGGATGATGGGAGAATTTACAGGAAACCCCAACCAATTTGATGGTAAAAACCATGGTTTCCTGTAGATGTTCCCTCAAACCAATCCATTGAGTGCAATATTTCATGTAAACATATTTTTGGAGGGTAGATGTGAATATTTGACACTGTCGGGATGGAACACATTTCATCCAGTTGGCTATTTGTTTGCTATTTCTTGAAACACATGCACGTATATTGGTATATTGTAATAGTATGTGAATATCATTTGAAAACATGGGACATATTTACCTGTGGATATCCGGTTGAAAACTCGATTTGTAAAAACTAAATATCCTGTTTTAGCAAAAAAATGTATCATTTATCTACTATATGTAATATACCTGGATGAAAACTCGTTTTTTGTAAATGGAAAATCCTGAGGAAAACTGGGACAAAGCATCCACTAGGCAGCCGAACTCATGGGGTCGCCGACCAAAACCACGGCATCGATATTGTCCAAGTGGATTCCTCGAATGGCCTGAGACACTTGGGACACGGGATGTCCCATAGAAATGGTAATATAAAGGGAATATAAAAGGGCATATTTAAATGAACTATCAAGGTGAGAACCCCCTTGGTTCAATTTGGGTTAAAAAATGGGGGGATATTTTTTTTAAACCTGCTTATTTTGTTTATCAATTTGCAACTGGGGGCCTCACCTTGTAACTTCCTGCACTCCCATTTGGTACCCCCAAAAAAATCGGATCATTTTCTTCCTGCTCGTTTCATATGTTTATTCTCGAATCCCAGGGGATTCGTTTTTTTGCGCCCGCGCTTGGGGGGTCCAGGACATGGTATATGTTGTGACCCAACTTCAAGGTAAAGACATGCGAGCAAAGCATGCATGTAGAAAAAAGTCCCAAGATTTACCAAAAAAAACATCCTCCAAGTGTCTATATGAAAATATATATATATAATTATATATGTATATATATTTGTAATGTGGCAAAGCCAATATATAATAACGCATACCCAACATATAGAGATTATATAACATAACCCCCAGTGGCTGGTTAATGGGATGATTAATTATTGGGTTTACCACAGCAAATATGCATATATAAACACACATATATATATATATATATACATACATACACACATGTGTATATTTATAGTGGTCCTGAAGTAGATAGAATATTGTGCATTTACAATACGTATGTTCAAAATTTATTCAAACTATTTACAATCATTGATCGGCCACAATTTCAACATAGATTCCCTGCACCCTCATGTTTTATATCGTATCTACTTTAGGATCACTAATTATATACATATGACAAATTGTTCATGACAATATGTTTGCACATAAATACACCAATAATACTAAGAACTAATGATAATTACTGTTATCTTACATCATTTCATGTATACAATGATATTGTCGTTAAATCTCAATATATCATATGCATATATAACCCCCAGAAAAAAGGGGCGGTTTATAAAATGACGAACGCATAGTGTAATGTCCCACACCCGTTATTGCAAACGCCCTCAATTTATAAGCAATTGTCATTTTTGATTTTTTAGGGTTGGCACCGATTATTATTTATAAAATGTGCCCTCCGGGGGGCACAATTTCATAAGGGAAATTATAAGGGGGATTATATATATATATAGTATGTTGAGATACTTTGGATGATTGCGAAGTCACCTTTTGGTAACTATTGGGATTCCTACGAAACACTGGTTATTTTATAGAATTATTTCATTGGAGAAATTGCCCATCTAACTGGTGCAGGATATCGCAGACATGCACAGTATGTACTCCCGCCTCATCCTGCAGTTAGCCCTTTACCAGTTATACATGGTTACACCATGGTTATTTTATGGTTATGTCTATGGGATTATCATTCCATTTCTATAGGCTTTAAACGGACTTATAACTGGTAAAGTATCAATCATCAATAACAATGAATTAAATCCTGATTGGATTATATCATATGGTCATAGCATATTGTAGCAATATCCTTCCATTTTTATGGGCTTAATGTTGGTCAAAGAATCATCAACCATCCCCTAATGTCACCATAAATAGGTTGTATAAACCATTCCCAGATGGGTGGTTTATGACATTGTTTTACCCACATTATGGCGATTAATGATGATTAAACCATGAAAAAGGGAATGTTTATCCATGATTAATGGATGGTTTATGCCATCGTTTTACCCACATTCTTGTTGATTGTTGATTATATGGAGGTTTCCTACAATGGGAGGTACCCCAAAATCATCCATTTATAGATGGGTTTTCCATGCCCTATGGATCCAAACACTGTCTGAGAAGGTACGGCTAACCCCCTAAATCATACCCCAGTCCCACTTCCTAAGAAGGTACGGCTGGATCCATAGGGTATCACTGAACCATGGTATTATTTGAATTTGAACGGGGAATGTGTTTAACTTGGCTTTGCCATCCCGTCAGACATGACTGAGGCTAGATACCCAGCACAAGATAAACTGGTTGGTGGTTTCGACCCCTCTGAAAAATATTAGTCAGATTGGATCATCATCCCAACTATTGGGGAAAATAAAAAATGGTTCAAACAACCAACCATATATATATATATATTATATTACTACAATTGTATTCCCATATATAGGTGATATATCTATAGTATTCATGGGGTTTATAAACCAATTTATAACGTTTGGGGGGCACCACCTTGTAGATACCCAGCACAAGATAAACCGTCCCATGCCTCACAACTGGCAACGACCACTTGGCAACGACCAGCAGGCTGCAAGCGCTTCTCTGCCCCTGGTGAAGTCCCGCCCAAGCAACGATGCCGTTAAACAAGCAACGATGTTATGTGAGAGAAAAACCGGCAACAAAATGAATGTTTATAGTAGGACATAGTGAGAAGTAGTAGGTTTATAGTAAGAAATTGCTGTTTTACCGAGCTAAAATAAATGATATTTCACCAGACAATTTGCAGGTGCAGTGGGGTTGTTGCTTTTGCAAGAAACGGAAATTTAACAAACGAAACATGTAAATATATATATATATACATTATATGACCTTATATATCATATCATATCATATTATATTACATTACATTATATTATATTATACTATATATAAATATACTGCAACTGATAGGTTGATGGTAGATATATCGAACATTATTGACCGAGCTAAAGGGGGCATCACCATCCCAAGATCTTATGGGACAATCATTACTCCATGGAGTTGTGCAATATAATTGAAATGAATATATTCATGCATATACTCAAGTATATCACCTACATATATAACGGAAAAGCACTACGCATGTCTCCAGTTCATGTCCAGTAACTCTTCATCAGCAGCATCTTGGATGAAAAAATAATCCACGTTAAATCACTTGGAGGATCATCCCATTTAGTAAGTGGTTAGGATCACTGGGTTTTTTAACAGGATTTTTTGCCCCCCAGTGATGTGAACGCTGGTTAAACCATGAATTAATCCCCATGATTTATATCTACCATAAACCAAAGAATTAAGCCACAAAAATAAGGCAACTGAACGCGAGCTCGACTGGGGCCCCATCCTGTAAGCCATTTTGAAATGGGATAACCCAATGGGAACATAACCAAACCAGGGACAAGTAGGATAATCCTCCAAGCAGTGAGCATGTCTAACCATGTATAACCATGTATAACCATCACACCAGGCTAAAAAATGAGGTAGCATTGAGCACTAAGGTCTACTGAGTCTACTGGGATCATTTTTCCAAAAATTGCAATCTCAACAGGGAATATGATGATTACATACATATGATTGCTGTAGCTATCAAACTTAGGGGCACCCTATTTTCTGACAAACCAATAAAATCAAGGACTTGAAAAAAGAAGAACAGGGCTATCAACTATCAGAAACCATCAACCAAAGTGAAATGGTCTTCCAAGTACTCATCTGGGCAAATTATTCCCACTCCCAATATTCCCATAGATTCCCATAGAATTATCATAACAATTAACAATATATATATATATATACAATGTGAGGCCCCCAAGATAGCTAAGTTGGTTTATATCTCCAATAACTATGGTTTATGGTACTTATAACTATAGTTACTGGGGCTTATAAACCAACTTATAACTGGGGGGGGCCACATTGTATATATATACATATATCTGGTTGGTGGTTTTAACCATCTTGAAAAATATGAAAGTCAATGGGAAGGATTATCTCATACACTATGAAAAATAAAAAATGTTCCAAACCACCAAACAAATATATGTGTATATACTACAATTGTATTCCCATATATAATAACTAATCAACCAATGTATTCGGTGTTCCTTGCTAATAGATTTGATATTCCCATTTCAACCAATAATATTCCCATAGATTCCCAAGGAATTCTTAGTAGCTCAAATCTTTTGGTTTTCCTTGTTCGGTCGCCTTCCGGCGCCCACAACGTCGCAGCATTGTCGATGGCTTCATTGCAGGTCAGGACCTCGTACCTGCGCGGGGCTGGCATCGCATGGCCCCACAGTTCTGCTGATGATGGTCTATAAGCCAAGTATGCAATAATATAAAATACAATTTATATATATATATATGATATGTATATATATGATATAATATATCATGTAAATAATATATATATATATGAAAATTATATATATATACACATAGCTGGTTGTAAAAAGCCAAAAAACAACTTTTTATGGATAGTTTGACTAAGTACAGCTGGTTTTTGATTATTTAGCCTGAAATCCAATTGTTAGCCTACTGAATTTGTGTTACCATCAAGAACCAAGTTCTAGGAATCTTGGGGGCTCCTTCTTGCGGCATGTTGAAGATTGTCCGCTCTTGCTGTGCGTATCAAACGATGATGCGCTCCGCATTCACTTCGAACTGCGCAGTCACTGCCTTAAACTGGATTTGGAAGCTATATAAATCAAATGCACTGCAAACTGTATGGAGCAAATTGAGACCAAACCTGACTAATTCCGGGAAATGGCACCCTTTTGTTTCATTTGTCAAATTTGCGTAGTAATTACTTTACAGAGTTCTCATTCTCGCAACAACCCTCGGTACAGTACACTGGTCCCTCAGCAACCATCCCAATCATGTGTTGTTGTCAATAAACCGTATCTGTCAACCCCCAACCTACAGCATGAATCATGTGGGGATCGTGAGTACAGGGTAGCCCCCAGTTACAAGTTGGTTTATATCAACCCATCTATAGTTATAACTGCCACAAACCTCACTTCTCCAGTCATAACTTCAAGGACCCACCTTGTAGAGGTTGAACATTTACTTTGAAATCAGCTGAGGGGCGAATTGAGGTGCAGGCTGTGTATCGACTACTAATTGTATGTCTTAAAATAAAGCACCCCAAGATTTGATACCATTAAAATTGCTCAGCCATTTTCAGACACACCAAAATATCTGTTATATGGTTAAATTAAATGTTGTCTATATATCCGATTATATCTCATTGGTTTCCCATATTGTTAGTTATATTCTCCATGGATGATTTCCTTTTTCAAAGACACCCTACAAGGTGGGGCCCCCATTATGCCCCATGTACGATAGCTCAGTTGATAAACATAACTAAGATACCCTCTGGTAAACTAACATAACTATGGAAGATCACCTTTTTTCATAGGTAAATCAACTATAAATGGGCCATGTTCAATATTGTTCAATCGTGTTTTCTTTGTTTACCAGAGGGTACGATAACTGGCAGTTATAACTAAACTACAGTTAGAAGGGTTGATCAACCAACAAACATACCTGGGGGCCCACATTGCAGGGCCTATGGCAGATATACCCTTAGGTAATTAAAAATGTCTTGGACATCGCTGATTAATTGGAGGTTCCTAGTGAAAAACAAAACACATAAATCATGTATCAGCCCATTATATTCCCATGTTGTATCCAATCGTATTTCGATTGCTGTAGATATTCCCATTGTAATATTGTATACTTCAATTATATTCATTATATATTCCCATTATCTATATATATATATATCCCATTGCTCGTTGATTAAATCCATGTAACAATTCCTCCGTTTCTTCGCCATTTGTCACGACGCCTGCCATATTCTGCCAAGCGGAAGTTCAGCTGACCTGGTCCGAAAAGAACAACCATCGGAATCCCTGGGGTGTTCAGGAGCAGAACATGCGTTACCCAGCAAAAAAAATGCTGATTGAACCAAGCAAATATGGGGGAACTATAGGTGATTCGCGTTGGCTAAATTGGTTTATTTCACTAGGTTAACTAGGATTTGTGGTAGATACACCACCTTATGGGAGTGCGCGTCGTTGCCGTTGGGAGCGCGTTTTATGTAATAACATAGAACATTCATTTCAAAGATCTGTTTATGTCTGTCTTAGTTAGCAGGGCTTAGCAGGGCTTAGCCGTTGTAGAGCTATACATAGGATTATATACAGTAGGTACAGTACTGTATGTATTATGGAAGAACCCTTAGCTTCAAGTCTTGTTTTGCAAAACGGTACATATCCAAGTTTTGCACATCAACAATAAACTACAAGGACCTGAAAGCAAACCCGTCAATCAGCTGGGAAAATTCAGTTTGGTACAAATATGCTGCAACACAGCCGTTTTTGCTATGAAATATTGTATTGAGCCAATGCATATAAAAGAGAAACGGAATCCAATTTTGACGGGTTGCGCCACGCTCAAATGATATAAGCAAGCATGAGCCAGAGGAAATGGCAATTTTTATTGGCAGGAGATTTCATTTTGTCCCAAAGCAGTACTGCATCTTCCTGACAGCGTTCCCTACAACATAAAGAGATATGGAACGTTTTGTAAGGATAAAGCATGCTGTTCTCTTGAAGGGCAACATATTTTAACACATAGTATCAACTCAGATTTTAAGGGCAACATCATGCTTCTCATAAGTAATCATTTAAAAGAATGTGGCATTCCTTGGGGAAGTTGTGGCATACTTCCATGCAGCATTCTCCTACAGAGAGGGCAACATTCCTTCGATAGAGTGTATCATTACTTTGAAGCAGGGCCCTGAGATATGCACAGCATTCCTTCAAAAGAGTGCATCATGTCTTCCATATATTTTGGAACTTTCTTCCATAGAGGTAGCAGTCCTTTCAGAGAAGGGTAACGTCTCTCTAAAATAAAATGTGAATATACACATTACTTCTTTCAAGGGTGCGGCATTCCTTTGAGAAAGTACTTGATGACTTCATGAAATATTAAATTGTTATGCACAATTTCTTTGAAAAAGAAACACCATTCATTTGGAAAAAAAACATAAGTTTAAAATAACATAGTTCACTATATGATATGATATATTGCATATGTCAAATATTATACATGTATACACAATATTCCTGTCGAAAGTGTGTGGCATTCCTTTGGGAAAGTAGCCTTCAAGACACACTGCAGTCCTTGTGACAGAGTATGGCATTGTTTAAGTTCTTGTACTAAAGGGAACCCTTTCATACATATATACACATATATATATATACTTTGATAGAGGGTAATGTTTCTGTAAGAAAGTGCAGTATGACTCCATGAAATTGTCTTTTGAACAAGCAAACTATTCCTTGCAGAAAGTGAAACATTTATTTGAAGGGGTATTCTTCAATAAGCAGTTGCACTTTAAGAGACCATGGAAGTCCTTTTGGACAGTGAGTGCGGCATGCCTTTATGCAAGTTTTGTTGAAAAAGATGCAACCTGGTTAAATTACTTTGAACAGAGGGTGGCACTCCTTGCTAAGAAAAAATACATATCATATATGTATATATATATATATAACCTCCAGAAACAAAAAAAAAGGCATCCCCCCTTTAGAAAATAAAACAAATCAGGCTTCCCTCCCAGAAAATCCACAAAAAAACCTTGAGAAAATCAGAAAGAACAGACACCAAAATTCAGGGACTCTTCCCTGGACCCCCCTCCTCCAAAGAGTCTGGAAGTATTGTTGTTGTGTGTTTGTTTATTTGTAAGTATTTTTTTGTTGTTGTTCCATTTGTTTTTTTAGCTTTGTGGGTGTCGCCCTCTTGCAAAGCGCCTCGACAAAATTCTTGAGTTTTTTGTTGGGTCTTTCCAAGGTTTTGTCAACTCTTGGAGGTTGTATTTGGTTTTAATCAATTTGATTGGGATATATTAAATTTCATCAGATTTTTCAAGATGTCTACCCTCTGGTAATTTAACGTAGCTATTGAAAATCACCATTTATAGTGAATTTTCCAATGAAAAATGGTGATTTTCCATGGCTATGTTAAATTACCAGAGGGTACTCTGGTCAAATTGTTGTGTAAAAGTGCCCTTGGGAGTACAGTAAAACTCCTCAAAAGATCATCAATCTGAAATCTGCACTCCCAGGACCCGTTCTGAATTTTCACGGGGTCATGATCATCCCAATCCCCCTTATGTCATAGAATTGGATGATGGGACAATTTACAGGAAACCCCATTCAATTTGATGGTAAAAACTGTAAAAACCATGGTTTCCGGTTCAGATTTTCCCTCAAACCAATCCATTGAGTGTAATATGTCATGTAAACATATCTAATCCATTCCCCCATTCCCATCCATTCCCTACGTTTAGCACCAGTAAGTTATGGGAAAATAGATCAAGCTCTGAATATGTCACTGCTATGGAACAAGGCCCAGAAGATCGGAATCTGTGACCATCCGAAGTCCAAATACCTGGTACAATGTGGTGCACCCCCACTAAGTATGAGTTCGTTTAGAACCCATTGCCAACCTTAGATACCCTGCAAAAAAATAAATTCTTTGCTGGTTAGTAGATATTCCCATTAATACCAAAAGACTAAAGGATTAAAGTATCCATGTAAGATTGACCTAGAACCCCATCACATAGTTCGATATATCTACCAAAAATCCTGGTTCTTAGAGTTATATATTAACTTCTGGTTCGATATATTCCCATTAATCCTGGTTTATAAATAAAATTTTCAATAAACTTCTGTAAACCAACTGAACGCTATCGAACGGGGGCACCACCTTGTAATAACCATCCTGCGGCAAGTCCAACAATAGAATTCCCATTGGCCGAGAGATCCAACAAATTCCTGGTAAAACTTGGTGTCTTCCCCTCAACAGATAAATCAATGGATTGGTTTAAGGGAAAATCTGAACCGGAAACCATGGTTTTTACCATCAAATTGGTTGGGGTTTCCTGTAAAATTTCCCATCATCCAATTCTATGAATAAAACATAAACCTTGCATATGGGCCCAAAAAATGTGTACACTAAATATCCCTATGGATCCATGGCCACTGTCTGAGAAGGTATGGCTAACCCCCGAAATCATACCCCAGTCCCATTTCCTAAGAAGGTACGGCTGGATCCATAGGGTATCACTGAACCATGGTATTATTTAAATTTGAACGGGGAATGTGTTTAACTTGGCTTTGCCATCCCGTCAGGCATGACTGAGGCTAGATACCCAGCACAAGATTCAGGCCGTAGATGCCTTGGTCGTCAACAAAAATCACGGACGGTAAATTATCCACTGGCGATCCACCAGTTCTACCAGAAATAGATGACATATACTTGTCGTTCAAAAATGAACAACACCGTGTATATATATATATATGTAAGTAATGTAATGTAATGTAACGTAATGCAGTGTAATGTGATGTATGTGTATATATATATATATACGGTAACTACATTTAAATATACGGATTTTTAAATATACGAACTGGTATTTTAGACTACCTCCGAGAAGGTTTTCCGTGGCTCGCCTGGCCACTTGAAGATATAGGTTTTATGGAAGCTTTATGGAGGATTTATGGATGATGTATGGAGGATTTATGGAGGATATAGGAAGATTTATAGAGGATTCATGGAAGATTTATAGAGGATTCATGGAAGATTTATAAACATCAGGGCCCACTCACTTACAATCCCCATATTCCCACCTATAGCCTATAGTACTTTACGAACTCCAGAGTGAACATTTCTAAGGCGGTCCTTAGCTAATGGTTCAACTGTGCTTGAATCGACATTTAAATATGCGGAACGGGCCCGGCCATTTAAATATACGGATGGAACTGGTGTTTCATACTACGTCCGGGGCCTCGCAGTCTGGCCCGCCCTCCACATATTTAAATGTCGTTACCGTATATGTATTGGAGCCCGTGTTTTAATTGCATTCTACCACAGAGATTTGAAGATAGAAGTTCTTTCCAGACCTCTTTTTCCAGACCTCTTCATGCCTGGGATGGTCATACTGGACCGTTGACCTGAAATGCATCCTGTTTCATCATCCAATTGTTACCCTCGAACGTGTCATCCCAGCCGCTGGGAGTTTATCATCGAACTCATCGAGGGAGATTATCTCCAGCACCGTAATAGGGGATCTCTGAGGAACATTCCGCAGCAAAACGCTGAAAATATCTACCATCTGGTGATTTTTAACATAGCCATGGAAAATCACCATAGAAATAGATGGTTTACCTATTAAAAATGATGATTTTCCATGGCTATGTTAAATAACCAGAGGGTACATCTTTTCCAACTGAGTTTTTGACATCTGGGTATGGGTCAATACCTCTAGTTCTTGGGGTATTTTGAGATTAGGGGCAGAGTTAGAGGGTTTCAACCCATGTCCCCATGTCCATCTCATGAAATCAAAACAGAGTCTGTGCCGGTCATTGCAAACGGTGGCTTGTCTGAAAATGAAGTACCCCCAAAAATCGCACGGATGATCATCATCGTTCCCATTCAAATGTTCATTTCGTGTATACCGGACTATACCGCTTTTTTGCCTGTGATCTGAGCTCTTGCCAAGCATTGCGAAGCCAAGCTATGCCAAGCTGCTCTTGGGTGCCCTTCCCTTCTCTGGTGTGGTTGCAAGCACCTCAATGTTTCTGTTGGAAGGCTGAATGATCCCGAAGAAAATCCGACTATCCAAAAACACATCAAATACCATCTGGTAATTTAACATAGCCATGGAACATGGCCCATTTATAGATTTTTTACCTACTAAACATGGTGATGTTCCATGGCTATGTTAAATAACCAGATGGTAGCTATAACATGGCTATAATAGGGTGTCTAATTATCCGTGCATAATTCTATGTATATACATATTGAACTGACCTTCAAACCGGACAGGTTTTGGGTCTGGCTAATGGGGTAGACGTACTGTGGAAGTACTGTACATTGAGTTTACATTGAGCTTAAGGCTCTCACCGGGACACTGAGAGAACTTGGCCTGTTTTGGCTCATTCATTTCCCTAGCAACATCGAGAAATCCATAGCTTGATCCATAGCTTGCTTGAAACCAAAGTCGTCCGGTGAAGTTTCACCCAGAAGTATCAGCCAGTGTTGGATGCTGAGGATGAAACGTAACACATACCCGGCCTGGTTATGACTAACAGTTAGCCATGGAAAATCACCATTTTTTAATAGGTAAATCATCTATAAATGGGCCATCTATACCATGGCTATGTTAGATAACCAGGCCGGGTATGTCCAACATATTTCGGTCTAAAAACGGGGTACCCACAGCCACCTTTTGGGTTTTCCAGAAACCCAAAAAAAATAGGCCCAGGGAAATCCACCATCTTTGGACAAAGCCACATCTGATATTGGCGACATATCCAAACAAACATATCTGGTTGGTGGTTTTAACCATCTTGAAACATATGAAAGTCAATGGGAAGGACGACATCCCATATATTATGGAAAATAAAAAATGTTTGAAACCACCAACCAGATATTACCAGACATTGCTGATTGTGTATCCCCCGTTTTGATGCTTCAATCCCCGAAGAAGTGTTGGTGTAAAAACCATGTTTAGGTGATAAACATCTCCGTGTTTGACGGTTTGATCACATATCCCGAATGTGTATCCCACTCATGCCAATCTTATCCCATTATTAACCAATTATTAACCTATTCTCAAGCCATTCGGGACTGATATCATATTGTGGGTGAGTTATCCCAGTTATCCCATAAATAAAATAACATATTCAATGATGGGCTTTTTGTCAAGTTCTATCGCACATGATATCCTCGTTAAACCCCCATCAAACATCATTAAACCATAAGTTTTTCCTGGTTAAATCATCTTGAGTCCCCATGTCTCTTGGTTTACAGTATAGTCAGTTGGTTGAATAATGTGGTTAAAACAATAATAAACCATCCATTTGGGAATGGTTTATACCACCTATCTATGGTGATGTCTGTGGGATGGTTTATGAAATTGTTTTAACCACATGAGTTCAAGAAATGCCCGACAAAAATGGAATATCATGTCCTAAATTTGCACAATGTGCCCCCCTCCCATTTATAAGTTGGTTTAGATTCGCCCCGGTAACTATAGTTATAAGCACCATAAACATCCATAAACCATAGTGAAATTGGAGTTATGTGCACCAACTTAGCTATCGAACGGGGGCCTCACATTGCAGGATTTTCGGAGGTCTCTGACCTAGTGATCTCACCAGGGGGACGAAGAATTTCGCCAGGTGACCACCAGAACTCGCCGAGTTTTCTCCGGCAGCTCTGCGATGGTTTGCGCGGCCACGGACATGACCTACGCCATGTGGACTCGGGGCTTCTGAAACATTTAGAATACTTTACAAAGACCATGTTTTTGTTCGCCGAATGGGTTTAATCCAGAGTTTTTATGGGAGAAATATGGGCTATAATTTGATATACCTATTGGTTCAAGCCAAATAGCTTTTCAAATTTGATAGATCAGTCCCTGGGAACCATGACTGGTCCATATCGGAATGTTCTAACATCGTTGTAAGATGATTCTGAGATGCTTTGGATGGTTTTAACATCGTTGTAAGCCTAACCAAAAATGGGAGAATTCGACAATGAGAATCAATGGATCGATTCTGCTTCTAGAAGGTTTGTCGATGCTGTCCTTTTCTTTCTGGGCGGGGGCCCCCAGTCATCATCCAAGTCATTAGACCATTTTACGATCGAAACAGATTGGTTTTAGGGGATACCCCATTTTGAAGAAAACCCCAACCAGTACCCTCTGGTAAACTAACATAGCTATTGAAAATGGCCATTTATATATAGTGGATTTACCCATTAAAAATGGTGATTTTCCATAGTTATGTTCGTTTACCAGAGGGTATATCAACTTTGAAACACTGGATGTCTGACGCTCTGAGCTACTGAAGAAATCATAAGAAATCTGAAAATGGTGGAGAGTACATCAACATTAAAAATAGGATACCCTCTGGTTAACTAACATGTTGCAATGGAAAATCACTATTTTTAATGGGAAAATCCACTAGAAATGGCAATTTTCAATTGCTATGTTAGTTTACCAGAGGGTATGATTTCCATCGAATGTTGGGATGATTCGCCGGGCATGCCCTTCTGTGAGCCATTCACATGCAATGGCACAAGCCCATTGATCAAAGCACGGCAAGACTCCAGGGACTTGCAATGGACTTGCAACATACCCTGCGATAGTTCAACACGGCAATGGGGTATTTAATCTGGTTGGTGGTTTCAACCCCTTTGAAACATATGAGTTCGCCAGTTGGGATGATGAAATTCCCAAAATATGGAAACTCATAAAACATCATAAAACATGTTCCAAACCACCAGCCAGTAATTTCTAGGTGCTTCATAATTCAACCGCCGCCAGCGCAATGGCTTTCATCACACCTTGAAGTGTATATCCAGGGTTCATCCTGATTTTTTGAGGGATAATGCGTATACCGTAAGTGTATGGGGTCAAAACTATATTACCACATCTACCGGTAATTACATGTAATATCATGCAATTACATCTATTTGCCGTCCATTTTGGGGTGAGCAGCAGGTTTTTGACTCATAACTCTATTCAAAGCATTCTAGAACCATCTGCAAGCGCTTTCCAAAGCTATGCCCATGGCTAATCCACCCCGGTCAGTGAGCCTTCCCTGAAAAAAAATGCGGTACCTCAAACTGCGGTACCCCAAGCCTCAATCATATTTTTCCCCTTTAAACTGGCTGTTCTTGTGTTTTCCACTTAATAAATTTCATGTTGTCCATGCCAAATCATCTGGCGCCTTGGGAAATCTGAAGGGGTTGGGCACCCGGCAGCGATGACCTTCACACGGGCGGTGCGTGGTGACATCTTTCATCATTGCCAAATCGCGAGCTGCTCGACCTTCACATTATGATAATAATATTGGTATCCCATGAAAAACCTCCGTTTATCCCATTAATATCCTATTATTATCCCATCAACATGCTATTATTATGATCATATTATCCATTATTATGAAAAATTAGTATCAAAATTAAATACATTAAATTGTCCCATTATTATACGATTATCCATTACATAATACAAGGTGGTGCCCCCGAACGATAGCTAAGTTGGTGAACATAACTCCAATAACTATGGTTTTTATAGGTGATATATCTATAGTTAATGGGGTTTATAAACCAATTTATAACTAGGGGGGTACCACCTTGTAGCTCCAATTGTACCAGCTCCAGAAGTAAGAAAGATCAATCCAGGCGTTTGATTCATGTATAAAATTATGTCACCATTGTTGCTAAGAGTTCACAAAAAGTTTCCTGTCGTTAAAATCCAAGTGTGCGATGGTCAAATCACAAGTGCGGCCAATTAAACATTGTGAATCTTAGATACCTTGCAAAAAATATATTTGTTTAGCTGGAATTTTTTACCATTGATAGCACCAACTCAAAAAACAAAATAAAGTGCTAAGTTCATATCTAACCAGCCGGTTGACGCAGAAAATTGTGTTTTTCCTGTGTTAAATAGCCAGAAGGTTTCTTTAGGGATCAACAATTAAACAAATCCTATTTGACCCAGTAAATCCCTGGTCAAAGTTTCAGCTCGGCCTGATGTTTGTCTGTTTTTTTTGCCGGTCAAAATTGTTCGATTCTCGTGGATGAAATCCATGGTTTTGGCCATGGTTTTGGCTGATCACGGGCTTGAAAGTTTACTTTCATGTTTCGTGATTTTTCAGAATAGTTACCCTCTGGTTATCTGACGTAGCCATGGAAAATGGCCCATAGAAAAAGATGTTTTTGTTCGATGATTTACATTGATTTAGCTACTAAAAATATGGTGATTCTCCAGTTCGCTACGTTAAAAAACCAGAGGCTACTCCAGTTTCTCATGGTTTATCCATGGTGGAATCGATCTTGTCATCCGTCATCCCGAGGCTGGAGCGAAGTCCTGCTGGCCAGTTGGTAGTACCATCCCCATACCTGGTAGGCCGACATTCAATGGATTGGTTTTGTTGGAGAAATCTTAACAGGAAACCTTCCAAGATTATCCCATGAAGATCATGGGGCTTAAACCTGTCAATTTTCCCTTAAACCAATCCATTGAGAATGGAAAAAAACATTTTACTTACTGGTGCGTTTTACGTAGGGTTGCTGGATGGGTTGCTGGATGGGTTGCTGGGGGTTGCTGGGGGTTGCTGGGGGTTGCTGGGATGATGACATGAAACTAGCGATGACTGGGATCATTCCCGAAAAATCCCTGCGTAAAACGCACCAGGAAGTAGATTGGTGGATTTAACAATGAAGCCATCAAGAGCGTTGATTTCACCAAGTGTTTTTTTTTCCTGAAGGGGGTTGCCGATGATTACACTATTAAAAGGATGGGGGATGCAACGTTCAGCCAAGAAACATGATGGGATCATGGGGGTTTAATAGGGATACTGGTTGGTGCTTGAGCCACCCCTCTGAAAAATATGAAAGTCAGTTGGGATGGTGACATTCCCAATATATATATATATATAGAAATAAAATAAATGTTCCAAACCACCAACCAGGATATAATGGTGATATCATGGGGACATACCAATCGTGCGGGATTTAAATAGGATTTCATGGAGCTTAAAGGGGGGGGATTAATGAGATATAACTCACCAACAATATGAAACCAATCTCAGAGGTGTTGAAACTGAGTTGATCATGGCTAATAATGGTCATTACTGATATAATACTCATATATGAACTAACGATACATTAATGATATATTAGGTAAGTCCTTCCCTCGTTTATACTACAGAAAACCCATAAACTATGATGTGTGTAGTGGATGACATCATATATTTGGGAGGGGGATGGGACTGTGAATGCCAAAATAGGATTGATGTGATGTACAGTAACTGTAGTTTTGGGAAATTCTGAAGTTGATCTTTAGATGTACAGTAACTCTATCGTTTTCCACTATATCACTATGTCATATAATAAACATTGTACAGTGGGGAAAGTGGACTTGCAAGCCAAAAACGCAGCAGTTGCGTTTAAAAAAAACAAGCAACAATGAATGGGATGTTGACCAAGAAGAAGTATTGGATTTCGTCAGTCATCTCCATATTGAATGGTTCAGACAAAAATTATTTGTGAAAGCAGCTGAGATCGCAGACTAGATTTAACATAACAAATGATGCACATGTGTACCATACCCATCTTTTGATTGGAACATGTCTATTGTACAAAACACATTGATCCAGCCAGCGGACAAGTGATCATCAGAAATAGTCGCTCGTTCGGGAACTTTTCGCTTCAACCCATTCCGGGGAACCACCTGAATCAGTGTCAAAATCATCTCCCCATTGAAATGGGGTTGAAATTTTGCACACATACCTGAAAGCACCAACTAGATCCTCATTGTTTCTATGCTCCTTATATCATAGATCCCATTGTTAGATTGTTGAAACATCTTAAAACTCAATCCATGTTTTGAAACTTCAATGGGAATTCCAGGATCCTAAAATGGAGGTACTGTATGGTACTGTACCATATAAGGCTATATGTTGTGGGGATATTTCCATACATAGGCCATTGATTCATGTTTTCCCTGTGGCTCGGACTGCCCCAAGTTCGGCTTGTCTGCAGCCTCCACAGGTTTTCAGGGATCCGATTTCTTGGTCCAACCCATGACGGGGGGTATGACAAAAAAACACCTGGTACCCTGGTAAACACCCAACAAAAACACATTTGTGTTTATGGATGTTCATCCCCTCATTGGATGGTACAACTGGTATTTCACCTAAGTGCTGATTCAGCTGATCCATCCCCATGGTTTTTTGGAGGACTGGAAACCTCATCCTCAAGGGGATGGATTGATGACCATCCCCCAGTAGGGAAAAAAATCACCCAACGACTTTGACCATGACACAAAAAAAACACCAACAAGATCAACTGGTATATAAATTAGGATATATTGGGATATTAACAATCTGCATTGTGGGGGCCCAGGCAAGATAAGTTGCTTTATAATTAGCTAGTTTGACTGGGATTCATTTCATGGAGATATCTGCAGATTTCTCAAGTCGGAAAATCAACCAAGAAACATCACTTCGGGGCCCCATTCCATCCCTTCCCGTGGGTAAGATGTTGTTCTTGTTGTTGTTTCCTCCCCAGATATGTCCATCCTGGTGTGGATGTTGCCTCCCAATGATCACTGCCAGGTGCACGGATCAGGGTCAAATCAATGCCAGCACCTGCGCAGGGAAAATGTGTTGCTGCTGCGAAGCGTCGCATCATGATAACAATAATGATAACATTAGTCATGGTCGTCGACATCATCTTCATCATCATCATCATCCTCGTCGCCGTCGTCGCCGTCGTCATCATCAGTGTGATCGTCATCGTCATCGTCATCGTCATCGTCATCGTCATTGTCATCGTCATCGTCATCGTCATCATCATCATCATCATCATCATCCTCGTCGTCGTCGTCATCATCATCATCATCATCATCATCCTCCTTACCGTCATCAATAATAATGATACTAATACACAATATTACTATTATATATATAATTATGTGTGTTATAAGTGTTAGTTAGTTTCACATATCCATTGTATCCGTTTATTTCTATTATAGATTGCCATCAACAAGACAATGAACACGCATCATTGCACTCGTTTTTTTTCAGATTTACCTTCCGGTGGAGCTAAAGATTCCAGCCACCTGTGGCTAGCTGGTGGTTTCAAGCCACTGGAAAATATATGAGTCATGACAATCCTCGCAAGTACGATGGAAAACGAACAACTGCTTAAACAATCTTAAAACCAGCATTCCAACCAACAAAAACCTTCAACAAGTTCAAGAGTACCATTTGATTGTATCTATAGATTGTACAGACGTTGGTTTTACCAGCAGTTGACATTTATTCAAACAGTTTTCCGGTGCCTCCGTACATCCTCTGCCCCGTTGTATCTTTCAGTGGCTGCAACGCAGCGCCCCTGGGGCTGCTGGCTGAATTTCAAGTTCCGGTGGGTCCGTCGGCTCATGGTTGCCTTGGTCACTGGATCCATTGTGGGTTGGATGCTGGATTGGGAAAACGTCTCGAACAACAATATGAAGAAACATCCAATATCAAAACTCAAAAGCTCGTGATGTGAATACTTTGGAAAGGATGGTGAAAACAGGGGAAAAGAAACGGTAATTGCCTCGGATGTGTGTGTATGTTGATATAAATATACATATATATATATATACAGATGTATGTATATATATATATCATTCTAGATCTATGTCTCAATGTCCATGTCAAAGCTGACCATATCTATATCTATATATATATGCATATATATATGAATAATATATATATAATGTAGTATACCGATTAGTGTAATGAAACTCTACTGTGAGATGTTTCAAAAACATATTGAGTATCCTGTGAATGGTGGGGGTGGGCCTCTATTGTGAGAAGTTTTTTCTCAGATCCATTTTTTTCAGGAGGAAATTTATCCACCTGTATACACTTTTCTTTGGGTAAAGCTGGTCCATTTCCTTCAGAAAACCATATCCATGTTAAAGCCTTGAACATGCAATGTTCCCCAAATAATTAGATGCCTTATTAAGCCCTTATTAAAAAAAAAAAAACAGCACCCAAACATTTTTTTAAGTTTGTGACCCGGATCCTCAATAATGTAATTGTTTGGATGGTACCCTATTGTGCACAAAAACTGTTGGTGCGTTTGTTTTTGAGATTAACAGGAAAATCAATTGAAAGAAGATTCAAATGAATGGACAGTAAATTGATTTCAATTGAATTCCTTTCTTATCAATAGATTTCTTTGAGGTTTAAAAGGAACAGCAATTGA